AGACCTTCGTGACTTGTGTAGATGTCGACGGTTTCTACACCGCGGTCGGTGTCGATCCCCACGGTCTGCATGAACCGCAGCGCGTCCTTGACCCGGTTGACGATGCGCTCGTATTTCTCCTTGATGGTCGGGGTGATGACATGGCCGAGTCCCCAGTCCAGTGGGGAGTGTAGATCGGCCAGACCAGAGGTTAGCGATGCGCGCAGGTAGTTGAGTGTGGCGGCAGAGTGGAAGTATGCGGAGACCAGCCGTGATGGGTCTGGCTTGCGGGATTCCGGCGTGGCCTCGAAGCCATTGATGTTGTCTCCACGGAATGAGGGCATCTCAACGCCGTTGACAACTTCCATCGGACTCGACCGCGGCCTGATCACGTTAGACCGGTTTGCCTTTCTAATGTACTATAACTAGCCAAAGATTGGCGAACTCACTTGGCAAATTGCCCTGCTATCCGCGCAATACGGACGACGGGCTTATTGGCACCTGTAATTGTTAATGTCGGTATAGAGCAGATTGACGAGAAAACATACCCCAAATTAAAACCAAGCTCATCTGCAAAAGCAGCTTAACTTTAGCCTCAATCATGTCTTGATTGCAGTAGTCAAACAGCTCCGCACAATCTCCTAGTAATGGGTCAGCGACTAAACTCGAAGAATCTGTAAATGAGTGAATCCGCACCTCCTTGGAGTACGAAGGCCTTTCCCAATGCCACATTTTTCAAGTTCTTCTTCAAGTTGGTGATCTGTCAACTGTGTCAGCATTTGAGTCATAGTAGTATATCAGCGTAAAGAATGCGGGGTATACCTCTTGCGTAGTGACCAAGGGAGGCAATTTCTGTAACTTGTCCAGAGCGGCTTGAACACCTGTAGCATCATTGTACGGTACATCCTGCTTGATGGGTTTCGAAGCCCAGGCTGGTGGGGATTCCAATGTCAGCATCCAGGGCGGCTATACGCTATATGGCGGGGAAAAGGGCATAGCCGGGGGACGCACAGCTTGGAGTCCAAGGGTCCATGATGTGGAGTCTCAGGATCGACGGCTACCTGATGATTCGATGGCTACGAGGAAGGTGGTTTAGACGGATCCTCCGTAGAAAAACCAACGAATTGAGCGACGTAGGTTGCCAGATGACCTTCAACTTGACAGAGGTTTGTTACACCACCATTTGGCAAACAAAAAGAAAAGAAAAAACTGCCGGTTATTCGCGGCCTGAGTCACACTAGGCACTAGTCCTAATCGGGAAATACTATGGCTTTGCCCAGTCTTATCGGCGTCATGCCTCCCTTATCGATTCCTCCAACCTGCCATCACAGACAACGACAACAACGTTCCTGCAGATCGTGTCCCCACAATCTACCCTAGGCTTGATATAAGCTCTTGCCTGACTCGACTAAACCTTCTTACTTAAGCTTACTGACCATGTCTGACTCCATCCCCTCTGCCCACCCGGACGCTGGCGCCGCCGACCAGCACCGCCCCGCAAACGCGGAAGACCGCAAAGCCGCCGCTGCCCTTTCCTCTCTGAACACGACTGAGATCGTTGCGGACTCAGGCGCCAAGCCGCCTTTATCCGCGGACCAGGAGGCACTGGGGAAGGCGATGAGCCGGTTGGAGATCGTTGCGGGGCAGGATGCCGGCAAGAAGGCGACTGGGCCGCAGAAGGAGGCAGAGGTAGTGAGGAAGAAGGCCGTGAAGGTTGCCTCGGAAGATGTTAGCCTCTTGGTGTGTTTGCTATCATACTCCTTCTCCTAGTAATCGTTCCGGGTAGTCTGACATATAACAATGGCTGCAGGTTGACCAGTTAGATTTAACGAAGGTCAAGGCGACCGAGCTCTTGAAATCCAACAATGGAGATGCTAAGCAGGCGATCAAGGCTTTTATAACTCCTGTGGGGGCTTGAATCGCTATCTGCTAGCTGGTCTGAAATTGGAATGTAAGAGATACTAAGATGTATGCTCAGTAAACTAATGCTTTCAAGCAAGGCTGAGCAACGAAGAGCCATGGCGACTGCTTGCCCGAGAAAAGTTAACGAACTTAATGACCTGAAATTACTGAATCAACTAAATGGACTGGTATCAAATGCGTCTATTGTATGCGTATCTTGTAGACTCATAAGCCCGCGACAGACCATGCTGCCCAGATCTTATGTCATCTGCTATGTACATAACACCTCACTAGGTGTCCTCTTCTTCGGTTTGATCCTTCTTCTGCTCAATCCCATTATCCTCGTAAATCGACCAAAGCAAGAACCAGCCTACTATGGCCTCCACCGCCAGGGCCCACCATATGCCGCCCACCATGTTGTACTTGAGTCCCAGTCCTAAGCCCCATCCTCCAATCAAAGGGCCAAGTGTGCGCGCGCCGCTTGCGATGCTCTGCGCCACGCCATGGACGGTTCCTAGACGCGCGGGTCCGTAACGCTATTATTCACAAGGATGATCGCAGCCGGGAGGGCAAACGTTCGTGAGACCACCTGCAACCCTACAACAACCGTAAATGCAGGCCAAACCAGCCACGGGTATCGTGGTATCAGGACGATAAACGGCATGAGCGCATAGGCTAAAGGTGAGAATGGCAGGAACGTGCGGAAAGAAGTCAAGGTCCCCAGACGGGACTGAACTCGAGGATAGATGAAGATCTGCAGCGGGAGGCCGATGAACCCAATAATAGCAGTAGCAAGACCAACTCGAGAGGATGGCAATCCCAGACCACCGCCGAAGTGGAAGAGACCGTCTCGGCTACCTTCTGGAGCCCGCGGGGCAGGCAAGAACACGAAAGTCATAGAGTTGCAGGCGCTGGTGTGGAATGCTAATAAGAAATGCACCAGCAAAGTAAGCAACACATTGGGTGTCCAAATCTGACGAAAGCTGGGACGATCACCACGAGGTCGAACGCGCGAGCGAGCTGGGCTGGGGGGCGCTGATCTGTTGGCTACGCTTCCATCAATGTATAGCGATTCATCGTCCTCGTGACTGATAAGGGGACGATAATACTGCGGGATCCGACGGCGGGAGAAAGTATTGGCAAGTCTTTTGCCTAACTTCCGGCCCCAATCGCTTCGGTGCCGAGTAACCTCATGGGTCTAGGACATGTATTAGCAACCTGGAAAGTAGGTAAATCTGCTGACACTTACCTCGTCTAATCCGAGGATTACAGCCAATAAAGAAGCGAGAATGAATGCGGCACTGAGCAGGTTCGGTAGTGCATATGGCCAATGCATCATCCAACCCACACCATCTTTGCCTCCTAACAACGATCCAGGTCCGAACAGATTCGGATAGTTCCTCACAGGATCAGCCAGCATGCCTCCTAATACAGGCCCGATGATAACCCCGATGTTAAAACACATCGGTAGCAGAAGAAACGCCCGAGACTGAAACCTATGATTACTTGTTAGGTGCCATGTGATTTGAACAGAGGGTCTAGCGTTGTCGCAGCTGCGCAAACTCACTTCTTCTCGTGAATAATCTCGGCAATCATCGTCCTCATCACTCCGACATTGCTATTCAGAATACCGCCTAGAATTCGGAACACCACCGCGGAAGCAAACGATCTCGAAAATCCGAACCCGAGGGACGAGATACATGTTCCCAACAGCCCAATGATGAGAACCCGTTTCCTGCCCATCCACTCAGTATCTGCCAGTCGACCCCACCAAACGGCAGTCACAAATTGCGCAGCGGTAAAGCTACCTTGCAAGACGCCTGCTTGTGCCGAGATAGTTGAGTCGGGAAGCGAGGGATCAAAAGATCGAAGCTGGTAGAACAGATATGCCTGCAAAGACGTCTGGGCCAATGGCTCCGACAGACGTGCAAAGGTCAGGATGGCAAGCTGGCCCTTTTTCGGCAATGAGCGCCATGTTACTGGCTTCTCACTAGAGGATTCCGCCGGGTCATGGTCGCCATCATCTTCTTCATCGCTATCGTCGGAAATACCCCGACGCCGGCGATTTACCGACGCGCCGGCAAGTGAGCGATCTTGAGTAGAATCACCATCATAAATAACGGTATCTACGCTTTCAGTGTCGTCATACTCATCGGGAGCGTCGTGGTGAGAATTTCCGGATGCCAGAGGATTGTTACCTTCTGGCGGTGGCTGAGTTTTGCGGTGTAGAGAGCGTTGGGAGTCGGTATCTTCGGTAGTAATGCCGGTATCTACATCGTCAAGAGGGCGAGGTGGAATTACACGCAGTCGACTCGGTCCCATCAAAACGAAGTAGGAACAATAGGCACCCGATGACACTCGATCGTGAGATAGAAGTATTGAGGTTATAATACAAAGTCAGGTGGCGATTTGTTGTATAGGAAGGAAGTTTGGTTGAGTTGGGGAAGAAGATTTAAGACTGAAGCATGGCGACATGCACGCTATACCCGTTTGAGTCTATCAGATCAACAAGTCACGGAGTGGGTCCGATTGAACGGTGGTATTACTAGCATGTATCCAAATCCCTATCCCACATCATAATACAGCAAATTAACAATGCCTAACATACACCAATGCGGCCGGACACGAGACGCCATTTCCAGGAAAGAACAGAAGAAACTCAAAGCAAAGAGGGGACAAGTTTAGTTACGAGCTCAAAGTCTGACGGAGACCGCCCAGGTCAATCAACGCTCAGGCTGATCTCAAGCAACAAAGGCAACAACCAAGGCACCCGAGGACAGTCAACGCTCAACAACGAGCGGGCACATTCCTCTGGGATTAATTCCTTTCCTGGTAGAGAAGAAGCATGGTTCTTAGCCCAGGGACATGCACATTCAAGTCAGTCTTAAACCCAGCCTTATCACCATGCCTCCCTGCTGCAAGGAAAGAAGGGATATCAAGAGAAAAGGGGAAGGGTACAGAAAAAGACAAATAAAGAGATGAAAGGACAGAGTGGGAAAAGAGACAACATCAGTCGTCTGATAGGTAACGAATTTTTCGACAATACCCCATCTATCAATTGTGATTGCTGCCACCAGTAACATCCATCGTGCTCTCAATTCCTTCCCATGGAAGGTCCTCATCATCATCAATATCATAGTCTGTAGCATTGTTCTGTGACGACTTATCAGTCGTAGCAGTCACATCAGCGGCTCTTGCCGCTCCCACGTCAATGCCAATCGATTGGAGAGTCACCTCCATCTCCTGCTCGGTTATCTCCTGACCCTTACTCTTCTGCCCCTCAAGCACGTCGTACAATGCATAAATCTGGTCGGCCTTCATGTCGATGTCCTTCAGCAGCTTCTCGATCTTTGCAGAAAGCGATTTCCTTTGCCGCTTGCTCAAGGATGCGTCTAGTTTGTTGTATGCCCCCTGGTACGTTAGAAGTTGCATCTTCAGATGTGAAAGCTCGTCCTCCAACGCCTTGAGCACTGTAGCAAGGGCAACCGCTGGCGGTTGTGCGGGGCGCATGGTAGGTTCTTCATTGTAAACGGATGGTTCTGGCATACGCTCCGACACCGGGATAGGCTTAGGGATCTTGACCGACTCTCGCGTGTGGTCACAAGAGTCACCGGGAATAGAACGCTTGCACACCGTGCAGTTCTTTCCATTGTGTTGGGTGGCGCTGTCCAGTGCCCGTTGGGCAGACTGAGGCAGACGCGACGGATTTTCAGCTACTAGGTCAGCCCGATGGAGCGTGATGTCAGGCAGGATGAATGCCGACGTCATATCTTCGGAAACTTGGCGCTTCCGGCGAGGGGTAACGGCGTGGTCGGAGTGTCGCCGAGGACGTTCAATAGGCACTGATAAGTTGCTGTCCCCTTCACTGGCTTTGGAGGTCGCTGTCACGTCGCCCATAGCCGAGGCCGGTCTCGTAGGGATATCCTTGGGTTCTTTTAGGGACGATTTCCGAGGCGCCGCCGACTTAGACACACTTCGACGGGTCGAGTTCTCTGTTTCGTTAGAGGTGTGATCCCTGGAGGTACTCGATTGTCGTCGTTTGCGCGCCAATCTTTCTTCTTCTAGAGTCTTTCGCAGCTGAGCAATTTCACGTTCCTGTAGATATGATAAGCTTCGGTTTGATCACATAATGCTATGATTACTTACGTCGATAAAGCTCAGCAAGGTCAGGTCCTGCTCCGCGCTGGACGATTTCTTGGTGTTGCCGGTAGCCTCAGCGGTCGTATCAACGGTGACATCTACTTCTTCCACAACCACTCGCTTGACACGCTGCTTGCCTGTGTTTGACTTCTTGGTCTGGGTACGCTGTCCTGACCGGCTCGAACTGGAAGATGGCTCCTTCGATCGCGGTACATCAATGGTAAAGAGAGCTTCATCCGCTCGCTCCTTCTCAAGTCGTGAGATTTCGTTGTCAACCTGGGTGGAAATTCTCGCCTTGGAATCTTCTCGGCGCCCGGTCCTCGATCGTGCACTCTTACTGGTGAGCTCCTTAGTTCCCCGACTCACATTTCTGCTATGTGTGTTATCTTGGCTGGCTTCAGTGCTTGCTTCAGATGCGGACGTCTGTTCCGATTGTTGAGTCTCTTCGCGCTTTTTTGAGATATAGGGAGCAATTTTCACAAGTTGGGATTTTAGCTCCGCATTTTCGTGGCGGAGGTCCTCGATCTCATTTTTGAGATCCTGGGATTCGAGATAAGCTACCCCTAATTGGGAAACCGCCATATCGCGTTCCCGGTTCAATCTCTTCAATGCTGCCTCTTGGATCTCTACCTTGCGCTCTACAACGTCCAGCTTGTTCTGCAGAGCCAAGTTGGTGGCATCAAGTTCTAAAGCAGTCCGTTAGCACCGGGAGAAGGTAAATGCAGTAACTATACTTACTTCGGTTCTCATTGGTCAGACGATCCTTACGGTGGTCATCCTCATCGGTGTCGTATTTGGTCCGGCTATGTTTATCCTTTGCGCGAGGCTTGCCGGCCTTGAGGGTAGCGTTCTCGCTTTTAACCTCTTCAATCTTCCTTTCAGCTTCCGCCTTGGCTCTCTCAAGCTCAGAGACCTTATCCTGTAGAAGCCTCAGGGATACAAATAGAGCCTTCTCATCTTCCGGGATCGGGACAGCATCAAGAGGGACATGATCACGAGTCAACGACACGTCGGTAGCATCATGAGGAGGCGACATGAAACGTGTTGTTCGTGCGCGACTTTGACGCGTGAAAACCGGCGTGCCATCTTCGTATACACCAGAAACCAATTCGGAGAGATTGGGAAGATCGGGTAGTAGAAATGACTGTTGCGTAGCAGTATCACCAGCCGTGTTCATGTACGCCAGCCGTGAGCTGGCGGGTTGCTTTCCTTTTCTGATTTCCCGAGCATACGCTTCCTGCGACGCTCTTTCCACCGCATCGGCAATCTGGTGGCTGCCAAAGCGCGTCGCGCGCGCGTTATTCGTGGCTGCCGGGGGTCTTTCATCGCCGAGAAAAGAGCCATCATAAGAGTCGCGTACCTTTGCATGCATGTCGGATAGCGTCCGCCGTTGGCTGCTCGCCTTGGGTTTAGAAGTGTGCGGGTCGACGTTTTCTTTTTGAGCGAGACTTGCCCGTCTCAGTTGAGCATCTTTGCGGAGGTTCTCACTAGCTGCTCTGCGCGTGTTGCGCGTGGCCGGCTTCTGGGGAGTAAAGGTAGGGTAGTCGAGTCTCACGGCGGGCGACGAAGATCGGACACTGTTTTCGATGCTCATGTACGAATTCCGCGAATCATCTAGACGACGCGCGGGTTTTGCGGGCCGACCGACCTCTACAGAGAACTCATCGTCCTCAGGGAGATCGTCTTCCTCCGATGAACCCGCCTGCGAGAACTCTGGGAAGTAGCGTTCCAGCATGGAGGAGTTAATGGCGTAGTCGGGTTCTTCTTCATGACCAGATTCGCGTCGGGACTTTCCAAGGCTGTCCTTCATATCTGGAAGCTTTGGACTGTGGCCGACTTCTTTGGTGGACGCGAAAGCTTCGTGCTCTAGGTCGAAGTCCGAGCCGAAGGACGCGAAGCTGTTCGCGGTATGCTCGCGCGACATGTTGGCTGCGAGTGTGGTGTGTGACTAGATGTGGTATCAAAGCAGAAAATAGACCCGAATCAATTACAATTCTGTCTGAGACATCAAAAAAGACACTCTAGGCGTTGTTGAGATCAAAGCGTAGGAAAGGGAAAGCTTAGATGGCGCGTCGGCCACCGCGACTTCCGAGCCTCAACGACAAGCAATAATCAACACAGGAGAAAATCGATATTCAATGGGCGCGTTGTATGCGATGGCAAATTCAAGTCTTCCCGCAGTCAATTCAATGGCATGGCTGACTGCTCTGAACGTGTAAATTGCATGGATGGGTCTAGCGGGTCGAAATTGAGGAGGTTGGGATGAGTTGTTAGTGGTTTGTTTACTTGGGTGGAGTTCCCGTGCGACCGCCTTTCGTGCGGTGGCATAAATTACCTTCCACGTCATTCATGTTCGGCATTCGACTGTACAATAATCATCATTTAAAAAGCTACTTCCGGATATTTTGATTTTTCCCATAGTATTCTTGATAGTACAGTTGGTGTAGAGGTCAAGGGAGTTGAGATGGTCACCATCTGGCGACACAGGCATCGGTATCAAATATTGATTACATATGGGCAGGATGGGGTCATTCTCACGCGGTTCAACTGATGCGGTCATGTTTAAGGATTTCATCGCGCAACTTCTCCAGCACTGCGGAAGGTGGTGTCACCTACTGGTATTGACGAGCGATATGTGCTCGAAAAAATCGGGTGATTTGGTTTCGAACGGCTAACTATTGCCGTGTTCAAAAATATATATATGTATATGATCTATGTATCTCAGGTTTACAGTACTCCATCCTCCCATCGAAATATTATATGCATCCCGATAGTTGCATAATTACGGAGTTACAATTGGAGGGCATGTTATAACTTGAAGATCTAAATGCCATTTTTATTTATTCATTTTTTCATCTATAATATCGATACAACTAATGTACATTGGTCTGGTAAAATCCCCCGTGATATGTACAATTCTCACACCCTTGCGCCCAGGTCTAAGGAATGGGAGCGTAGAAGCTGAACCTGCCCTCTGGGTCATACTTCTGCTTCAACGATTGCAGGCGGTTCTGACGCCACTGCTCGCTGCCGTACAGCTGCTCTGGTGTCTCGTCTCCGTAGGCGTAGTTGACGTACGCGCGCATGTCCTTCCGACCACTCGCTTCGTGGAGAATGTCGCGCAGCTGGTTGCCTAAGGCACGCGCTTGACGGTCACGATCTGCGCCGCTAGGCAGGTAGTTGATGAGTGGGGCGACAAGGAGGTTCTCGCTGCGGAAAGCAAATGCACTCGAGCGGCTGTCAATGTTGTGAACGCCCTGGGTAGAGTAGCCCTCGAACTGGAACATTGAATTGTTGAAGACCGAGTTTCCGCGGATGGCCGGGGCGAAGATATCCCAGATCTTCTTTTGGGCCTGGACGTTATACGATTCGAGGTAGATAGGGAAACGGGGGTTGGAGTAGCCGGATTTCTGGCATGGGATGGAGGAGCTGGCAATGCCGGTCCAGGTAGCGAGGTCCTTGTAGGTGCCGCTGTCGGGAACCACAGACAACGGTCCAATGTCATGGAAGGGCTTGGTGTACTTGGAGTCCACGGTCGTTACTCCTTCCTGGATAATGTAGAAGACGATGACAGGCTAAAAGGGTGAGGTTAGCGGGTTGCACAATGTATCAGTAGGGATGCACTTACGTTGTTAGGGTCTGCAGTTGCATCGTTCATCCAGTAAGACCAATTGATGACACCCTCGGGCTGCGTGCCGTTCTTCAAGAGATAGTCATTGGCGGCCTGGTAGACAGCCTCGACCTTCTCACCGCTGAAGGTAATAGTCTCGATAGCCCAATCACTGTGCTCAAGATCAAAAATCTTGGTAGTCAGAGAGGTGACAATGCCGAAGTTATGGCCTGCTCCCTTCATCGCCCACCAGAGATCTGAGTTCTCGTCAATGGTGATCAGGGTTCCGTTGGCAAGAACAACATTCATGGAGATGAACTGGTCTGCAACAAGACCGTGGTGTCCTTGAAGCCAGCCGTGTCCGCCTCCAAGCGCCGGTCCGAGAAGACTGACGCACTCACAGGTTCCAGTCACTGTTTCGGACAGTCAGCATAATGGACAATGAAATTGATATGACGGTGACTATAGACTTGCCTGCTTGCTTGTCAACTTTCCACAGCTCATCGGTGACAGTCTTGGAGATGGTTCCGCCGCCGAACTTGGCCGTTTTCCCATCTTCGGCGACTTCAACGCTGCTCAGTTGGCTCAGGGATATCTCAATCCCGTGGGTCATTTGGCCGAGGGTGGTAAGGGCTCCGTGGGCGCCATTGTATGCGAGGAAGGGCAGGTCTTTCTTGTTGGCGAATTTCACCTGAGCAATTTACAGAGTCAGCAATCAATCGATCGTTACCTCCAGTGTCATATAAGGGAAGGATTACCGTCTCGGCGACATCGCTTTCGGTACCGGGAACCACAACGACTGTTACATTGGGTTCGGCCAATGTAGACCAGCGTGCGGATGCGAGCTCGAACTCCGACGAGCCAGGGAAGTACACCTTGGCCGTGCTGGAAAGCTTGGCTCCAAGCTCCTGCAGATCGGCGTCACTCCGTGGGCACAGACCATTAGCCCAATCGCGCGCGACGGGCACACTGCGACAGGCCGAGGTCATTGCCCATACGGCGACGGCCGTGAAGGCCTCCCTCTTGAGTAGGTACATGGCGACAAGGGGTTCTGGAATGTGAGAGATCAAGAAACTCTCGTGCCTCACAGCGGAGCAAACCCTGCAAGCGGGCTGCGGCGCTTATGTAGGAGCTGCAGGAAACATGATCGATTAGTTCAGGGGGGTCGCGGGGCAGCAGCAACAGTTCGGTCTGAGTAATCTGAAAGAATGGGTCTCGGAATTCGAACCTGGAGCAGCCTAGTTTGCGCTGTTATTTCGACCAAGCAATTGTATCGTGCGTTGGCGCATATACTACTAAGTGAAAGTGGGGCGTTCCTGCCATCGCCCCATTGCAGGCTCGACCTACCGGGAGTCCGGAAGCCTCGGGGGCCAACAGTCGGAACCATCAACGATCCCGTGGTGTCCCTGGCACTCTTGACATCTCGCCTGCTGCGTTGCTTCCGATCGTTTCATGTCTGCTAGCCAGGAATTGCCCTTTTCAATGTGAAAACGGGGAAGTGAGGAACCGAGGAAAAGTCGGCACAAATTTGCTCGACCCGACTTTTTGTTATCTTTACCATCGTCGGTCGACGCATGCTGGACGGATCCTTCGGTCGAACCAATGCAACGGTAATTGATTAAATATGGAGTACTGGCCGAGTGGACACTGGAAACACTATAGTGGGATCGGGCGATTGGCTCACGCCACCACGGCCAACCCTAGCGCACCTCTAGTATAGAAGCCGTTTGTTTGCAATTTGTCATCGGCTATAATAGATTAATGGCGTTGTGTGGGTGGCTGAAGAATGAAAACAAGAGCGAGAACTTGTGGATGGCGTGAGAGAAACGCTAGCAGGCATCATCGATTTATGTTCCCCACGCTCATCCGAACCTGCTGTTGACAAATGTCGACGAAGATCGCCTTGGGATAACGCTTGCTATGCAAGATGCTCAGTCCTGCTGTGGTGGAGTTATGGACACTGTATTCCGTTGGAGTGGCTATAACGCTTCTTAGAACATATGCACGATACAGAGCCGTGGGATGGAAGCAATTCGCGGCCGACGACTACTTGGTATGGGTCGGAATTGTGTGTATCCTCAAAATTGACTGTATCCCACCTTCAACCAATGCTAATGTGCTGAAAGCTATTCTACACGGCGCAGACAGCTCTTGCATATAGCGTGAGCAGTGTGGCCCATGGCCTGGCGAACAGTGGAATGACAGACGCCCAGCGCGCATCGCTGTCTGTTGACGATCCGGAATATGATCAAAGGTGCGTCGCATCTCAGCCGAGAAACACAAAGCGCCGGGGAAGCTAAACCAACGGCGATGATAGAGTGGTTGGCTCGAAAATCCAGGTTGCAGGCTGGGCTACTTATGTGGCGTTGATTGCGTCCCTGAAGCTGTCAATGATGGCCTTCTACGTCCGGCTCACGGTAGGAATTCGAATATTGGTCACTGTATATAACGACCAGTCACTGACATACCACAGAATGGCCTTGGTCCCCGCTATCGCATCCCAGTTTGGGCTGGGTTTGCGCTTGTCATTGGAAGCTTCATGGCTAGTATCATCGTCATTCTTGCAGCCTGTCGGCCATTCCACAATTACTGGCAGATCTACCCCGACCCTGGAAGTAAGCAACCCTCTTTTCTGATATCTGACGCCCCGCTAACCTGATGTCCGTCACCTTTAGACACCTGTCAGCCCGCTATCTCCAAGGCCACCATCTGGGTCACCTTCATCGCCAACATCATCACCGATCCATACCTCATCTTCATCCCAATCCCCATGTTGTGGAAGTCTAGCCTGAAGCTTATCAAGAAAATCGCAACAACCGTCGTGCTGGGCGCCGGTGTGTTTGTTCTCGTCTGCGCCACTCTCAAGAGCGTCTTCCTTATCACGGTACATCCAGGACAATTTCCCTTCACACAGAGCCATCTCTAAACCACATACTAGGACCCGCTGAACGGCGCCGAGATCGCCAATTCATGGGGCACACGCGAGACCTTCGTCGCGGTCGTCACCACCAACCTCCCGATGATCTTCCACCTCTTCCGATCCTGGCTCAACGTGCTCTTCGGAAGCGCCTTCCAATCGACGGAGAAGACCTCATACAAGTCACCGTGTATCGGGGGTAGCGAGTTCACCGGCCGAAATTATCGAAGTGGACGCGGACCCCCGAGCGTGAACCCCATCACCAACATGACATTCAGCGAGAGCAAGGAACGGATTGTTGAGGATGTTAAGATGCAGAACATGCACATATACTCGGAGCCTGTGGCCGGTAGCACCCTGTTTCAAGGCATCGTGGTCTCCAACCAGATTGAGGTCACCCACGAGACTAGAAGTAGCCATATCGGTCGGTACCAAAAGAGTTAATTGCGATTGACCTCATTCTAGTCACCACCAATCTTGGTAACAGTAGAGTTGGAGACGTTGTATACCACACGGTGAGTAATAATCTCCAGCCCCGCTCGTCAATGAACCCCCCCCCCCCCCCCCAAGGCCCTAGTTGTAAACTCGGACGGTAGTTAAGTGTGTCGTTGACTAAGACACTTCGGTTTGTATCCTGATGGAACATTTGTGCAAAACATGCCATTAATACTATGAGGGCTACTCTGCGAAACCCATAAAATGCATTTCGCGCCATTGGCCGGGGAAGGCAAAATTTTATTTCCAAGCGGTCGGTTTCTACTCCGTAAGCCAAACGCCCTGGACGTTGTGGGGACAAGGAACGTCCGTTTTACCGTCAATCAGCGTTGGTGGAATATGTTCAATAAATCCATACAAAGCACTCTTTATATACATGTAGAGGTTTGCATAAAGCCAAATACATGTCATCCGAACGCCATACTAGCGAAGTGAAACTAAGCTTGTGAATTGGGAAGGAACAGAGAATGCGCTATTAATAACAATGAATTGGCCACACAGTGGGGAATCTAAACGTCGTAAGCTCGTAACAGTCTAAGCACGCCTGAGATGGTAGAGAAGATGTCAAGGCATCAACTGAATAGGGATGCAGACAAGGGAATTAAGGGCTAAGAGTCGCGATGAGTGCCTTGGTTTTCTGATGGGCTATGCTCTTCGCGGTGGGGGTTTGTAGGCGTGGTAGGCGTGTTGTTCACAGGGCTGGCGAGATCGATTTGAATTGTAGGCAGAGGAGTGAGCTCTCGCAACTGTGGCGGTTGGCTACCTCGCTCTGCGGTTGGGCTTTCATACGGAGGCGCCTCTCCCCAGTCCAGCTGTTCATAGTCCGGAGGAGGGATATGGAGAGCCCCCAAATCGCCTTCTCCAGAACTCGGAATCATCGAGTGGGTGGAAGCAGCGTGCGATTGGACCGGGGTCAAGCTATCTTGTTCAGATGCAGCAGTGTCTGCGGAATGAGCGGACGAGTACGATTCGCCGCGTGAATGAACATTTGTCAGACTAGATGTGGATGAACGATTGGCCGTTTCCGTGCTCATCGTATCGGTGTTGGACAAAAGAGGACGAGAATCCGTATCAGGCCCATCAGGAGAGGTACTGCGCATACGCGTTCCATCGTGTCGCACATAGCCCAATGCTGCATAGCTGACACTGGAAATACGCCTCTCGCGACCGCGACTCCGAGCCTCTGCCAGAGTCAATGCAGAGGAGAAATTGCTGTTGCTCCCGTTGGCAGAAGAACGACTCTGGGCTCGAGCACGACTCTCTTGGCGAATCTGCTCGAGACGGACATAATCCCCACGAGCACGAGCCTCACGACGCTCCTCTCGCCTGGCCTCCCGCTCTGCTATCTCCTGTCTCCGCTGCTGGCGGATTTGGTACAGAGACTCCATCAGCTCCTCCCTGCGGGACTCCTCTTCCTCGGCAGTCTCGGGGAATTCAACGACGACATCCATGCCGCCCCGCTCTCCTTCTCGCGCAATGACCTGTTCTGAGGGTTTCGGACTCGACGAATAGGCAGGGAGGGTCATGACGGAACGGACTGAGGTCTCACGGCGAACTGCACTATTGGTATTCATTTCTGACCCTCCTTCCGCAGACCTGGTGTTTGTGCCGGTTCCCTCTCGATTTGATGACGCCCCATCATTTGGAACTTGACCGTATGACGATCCAGCTTGCCAGCGATTCCATCGGTCTTTTAAAGACTTCCCGGGGATGTATTTTGGGCGACAGTTCATGCGGCGGAGCGTGCGCAGGGTGAAATACGTCATGAGAATGACGGCTATTGCGAAAATGATGGACGCAGCGCACTGTCAAGATAACTCGTCAGCGAGGTCGGAGAAAACGATGGGAGACCGATCACTGAATCATCTGGAGATAGGCTTACTATGATAAAGATATTATTCCTGCGAGAAGTCTCGGACCGAGCTTCATGATTGTTGTCTGCGCCCGGCGGTCCACTCTGACGGGCGACAAGCCGTCCATATTGAGATGGGATATACATTCTCCGCAATCCCCAGGAGGGAGCAAAACAAACTATCCAGTGAATTCTCAGCTATTCAACATGCGGAATGTGATGACAAGGGATTCATGGCCAGGGCTCTGGAAAGGTAAGATGGAAAGAATGTTGTCCGTGGGTTAGGCAAACCAGCGGAATGGGCGGATGGCTGGGCAGGCTGAGCCAGTCTCGGCGATGATATGAGAGATGGCAGGCGCCAAAGTAACGCTAGCGTGCAATCACATTCGTTGCACCAGATCAGTGGTGGCTTATATACAGGAAAGAAAAAGAATGAGATCATTCATCACGACGAAGATAATTCAGCAGAAAAGAAGTAAGGAGTGGAGTCTTCCCAGTCTTCTCATTATCGTTACTCCGTGAGCTTCTAATATTTGGTAGGCTGGAACGAGGCGGCGAGTGGATCGGGTATTCTTTTCGTATGGTTCTGTAAAGTATTTTTAGATCTTAGTTTAGTGACCGGTTTCAGAAAGCTTATCTAATACTTTGGGGTACATCAACATCGAAGATCTGATCGACCATCCTACATTGTGTAGTATAGCCTTCCCATATTTCGCATGAAGCCTTACGAGTTTTGAAAATCTGGAGGATTAAAGGTAGGGAATCCTTGATTGGTATCCTGCACTTCCAATACAACCTCGTCAAACGGTCCGTGCACGGCTTACCGGCTACTATATCCGCGACGTAGTCCAAGAGTTATACTATGCTTAGTCTCGCGTAGTGAGGCCATTGAGCCCCTTAATTCCTTGTAACCCCACTCATATATGCTACAGGAACACATATAATTCTGTCACTATATAAGTTGAAAGAAGGATGCTCGTGGTCAACGGTTGGTATTGATCCCTGCAGCTTGGAAGGAAAGGGCCAGGCATGAGCCATGGTAGCTAGGTGAAACTCTAAGCTATGCTATGCATTGCTGATCGAAAAAGACGATAACATACGTACGTAGCTAAGAGATACATGTTGTCGCAAGAATCAAAATTCTTAGCTGGCCAAGGTTGTTCAACGCATTCTATTTTAATTTCGAAAATCTTTCCAACTCAGGGGAGCGGCACATATATCACGTGACTCTATGGGTTTAGAATTTCTAGCTGCTCTATGCCGTGTTCAGAAACCAGAATGCATTGTCTATCGTCGGCTATTCCTTCATCCAGCATTTGCTAGGCTCTCTCAGTGTAGTATTTGACCTGGCCATGAGCTACAGCATTAACCATATAAGATAGATAAGTGTTCTGAAAGCAGCCAAGAACAAGGCCACAAAGACCGATAGTTATTCTAGTTGACGGAACTCCAATAACCTTTAGGTTGTCAGCAGCTCAACTGCCGCTGGGCTGACAGTTTACGACAGTAAATCTTCTCATGGGTGTTTACAACTCGATAAATGCGATAGCACCATGGTTTTCTATATGGACTATAGAACTGAAGACCTTCAAACGGTCCTGCTAATCGCATACTAATCTCCTGTAATATCCAAGGCATTCCCTGCACCATTTCTCTTACATTGGAAGCGTGCTATCCAACTAGTTATATACGACCATCTATGTGTTTCAAGCAGTTATTGGTATCAGTATAATAGCTGTATTGAAGCCAATGCTAGATACCTCAATACCGCTCTGAATTGTACCTAAAAACAGAGATACCGTATATCACATCCAGCGGTATACATAAGAATCAAGATTAAGATAGTAATATAAACTCATATTCGCGCGATCACTGGTAGACATCAGGCGTAAGAGAAGCCACTGTCGTCATAATATGAACCGGACAAAAATACATCCTAATTGTTGGACGTTCACATCTTTGAATATAGAGGGAATCTGACTAGGTCCACGGAGGAAATTGTTAGGTTGGTAAGGAAGAGGAGTGATCAGCTACAGCCTTGCCCACTATCACAGCGCCAGTGCCCCCTTATCTATTGATACTGTGGAGAATAATCGACATAATCCCCCCAGGAGGATCTTCGGTGTGTTCATGATATGTCCATGTAGCAGAAGGATACACTTGTACGCGGGATACCAGGTTAACTATAAGACACTAAGTTATTAGATAGATTCTCACTATTCAAAGCAGCAAACTGTACCCGAGATTATCAGAATATTTTATAAGGGTGGTGTAGCGTGTCCTGTGAATATGGAGGATGTTAAAGAGTATAAAGATTTGCACCGGTTTGCAATCAGCTGTACTAACGAATTGATTCAAAAACTATCACGAAGTAAAAGCAAAGACGGGCTTCTCCCATGGAATCAGAGTGTCCACTTGCTCATGTCTGGGTGAGGATTCTTGTCCTTATACCAGGCATATTTATCTTGAGGTTTCGCCATGTCCCAAGCAATCCATTCGGTATCCCGCCACATGATATCTGCCCCTGCAGGCTCACTCATTCGAAAGCTGGTGATATAACTGTTAACAAAGTAGATAGTGCTTTTCATTAGTTATGCCCAAAGAATGCCTCATTGTCGTTATCAACAGGAATTATTACGTACGCCTTGTTCGCTGCTCCGTCCCAGAAGACGTGCTCTATATCTTGGAGTGCTGGTAAAATCCCCGAGCGAATACAGTCGCTGGATGATAGAAGAAGAGTCAAAGTTTGAATCTTTATAGAAGAAGATAGAAACTTACAGCCAGGCAAGTTTAAAGGCTTGACGTATCTGCTCACGCTCCGAGGCTTCCAACCCCCAGAAGATAGCCTCGCTCAGTTGCACCCCAGGTAGGTAGTTCATAAGAATGAAGAGAATATATCCATCAGGCACTGGGTCTGTTTCCTTCTGAAGGTCATTCTTCATGGCCACAATATTCGGGGTGGACTGACAGCCGTTAATTGTCAGGGTTCTCAGTGTGTCTACTTGACTAGTGATAAAAAATCGAGCTCGTAAGAGGCTGAGGCTTGGCTAGCTCTGAATTCAGCCGGCGCGTACTCAGTCCCTTCAAAGGGAATTCTAGGAATCCATAAGCTGATTAAAGTTTCATTAAGCTTGGGTAGTGGAACATACTGCATGAATATTTTCATCGCGCCGCGCCGAGTGCTGTCCAGCAAGTCGTGGCATAAGAAAGTGCCATACGCACCACCGATAATTCGATGCTTGTAAAATTCATCACCACCAATCTGGCTGTTCTTCTCGCTGATCACTTTCGTCAAGGTCCATTTTGAATCCCCCTCACGAGCAAAGTCAACCTCTCTGCCTGGCCATTCATCAAAAAAGTTCTTTCAGTCATTTCGTTGACTGTCAGCAATTGAATGATGTGATAGTGCCACGAGATGAACAAAAGTAGGCTTGGTTGAGGCTAAAAGCGTGAAGTGTCAAATGAAAGGAAGGCGGACAGATAGCCTACGTAGAACTGATATAACAGTTGGACATGAATCCCTAATCCACTTTTGGACGTGGCGAACTATGGTTGGACTCAAGAGTCATTCCAAGAAATCGAAAAACTTCTTAACACTTAGACAAAACTAAATATTCCACAGTCTATATGATTCGCATTGCAGGAGCGACTGTTTTGCCCCGTTTGAACTGCGTGAATTGCTTGAGTTGTCTGAGTTGCTTGAATTATGTGAATTATGTGGATTGCATGGATTGCATGGATTGCATGGATTGCATGGATTGCATGGATTGGGTGAATTGCTTGGTCTATAAGTTTGAAGGATTACAGGGTCATGTATTTTAGCTTCTTTAAACGTTGTACTCATGTCTTGGGAGGTAGTCCTTGATCTACTGGCCTCCTGGTAGCTAGTAACGAGGGCCCGCAAGCAATTGCTCAGTGACCTTGACAATCATAAAACTGCCCCTATCCGACCTTGCTAGAGGGCTTGGATATACTAAGTCCAGTGCTTTACACAACAAGTACTTTGTTGGATCTATGGGGGAGTGGCCCGATTTCGAGGAAGAGACTCGAGCTGCTGTCCAGGTAGCTGGACTAACTGGTGATACACTAGTTATATCGTGGACAAGCAGAGTTGCCGCCACGGAGGCGAATATCAATGTTGAACATGTTGTGGTGGGTATTGAGTCGGGGTACAACAAAACATCGGACAAGTGATGGGGTCGATATGCAAGTCGATAAATATGGAAATACGCTTTGCAGACTGTAAAGTGGCTGCAGCGCTATGGATTGGCAGAAAGGTCCCAGATACGACCTGCATGACCACTGCCAGTCATTTAAGGATTGTTGGAGAGGTCAAAACGTCATGGACTAGAGTCCATACACTTGCTAGGACTTACTCTCGGTATGCTGCACGCCTGCACTACATGATATGCACTCTAACTAGATTACAAGGCCAAATTGCAGAGTATATGATGCTGGTCAATATGCGCTATGGGTTCTTAACCAGGTATGAGGAGATAATGTTTTCCCGCCAGGTTTTGTCGAATGGCAGCTGGCTTTTACATTGCAGCAAGGCCTTTAAAAGCACACTGCGCGCGCAAGAAGACCTTTACGGTGACTATGCAGATCGGGTTTCCGTACGAGCTTCCCGCACCTGATATAACTAGCTGATACAAACCACATTGCGGGAAACCCCTCCCTATGGCATAGTGAGTGAGAGCAACCCCCATTTAGCTCTCTACAGCCGTGGTCTGGTAGTTGTTGGTATCTCGGAAAGCTCTGTGCCTGTTGCTCTGCTTCGTATGGCGACTTCAACCAGGTCTTTCGGGATTACTAGGCTGTATAGCCGAATAACCGGAGGTGTCCTGGAAGGGTCTGACCATGCAAGTATCAACCTACATACCAATAGAAAGAGGAGGATGGGTGCTGAAATCGGACTCTGCGCCTCCACGTGGTGGCACCTGGGCAATGCAACTGCAAGTTGTAGCAAGAGCAGAGACGTACTAGATATACATCAGCACCCGCGATGTCAATCCCAATCTCTTACACATATATAGAAGATCTTTGACCTCAATTGGAACACCTCTTGCCGCATCTGTTGATGTCCACTGTTTCCTATCAACTCGGGCACCGGTAGGGAATACTAGTATACACTGTCCAGTTAGGGCAGGTGCGGATGACCTCATCGCCTTCCTCTTTTATCCGATAGTTCTGGCTGCTTCTTCTTCGTCGTCTTCTTCTTCTTCCTCTCATTCTGCTCCTCTTCTTCTTCATCTCTTCAACAACAACGCATTCCATCCATACCGGCCATCTGAACAGCCTCTCATCCTCCTCCTCCTCCTCCTCCTCCTCCTCCTCAAGAACGGCAATACGATTCACACTGGACCGCCTTAACCGCCTCAGCTTGTCCGTCTACTTCTCAACAACGCAGTTCCCACTGGCCCACTGGCAGCCTCCTGCTTCTCAACAACAACGCAGTCCATCCATACTGGCCCACCTAAGCATCATCTCTTCTCCTCCTTCTTCCCCACGACGACGAGATTCATACTGACCCATCTGATACCTATAGTCCTATTCTTACGCCTGTTTCCATTCTTATACCACTTCCTATCTTTACACCTGTGCCTATCCTTATGCCTTCTCCTACCTATCTGTTAACCTGTTTCTATTTTTACGCCTCTTCCTATCTTCAACCTGCTCCTATTCATATACCGCTTTCTATCCTTACACCCGTATCTGTTCGTGTGCCTCATCCTATCTTTGTACCTGTTTCTATTCTTATGCCTCATCCTATTCTTACTCCTGTGCCTATTCCTAGCCTCTCCTTCTATCTTTATCCCTGTGTCTATCCTTAGTCTCTTCCTAAGCTTTCGCCTGTGTCTGTTCTTGTGCTTCTTCCTATCTTTCCATTCTTACACCTCTTTCTATCTTTATCCCTGTTTCCGTTCTTATACCTCTTCCTATTCTTACGCCTGTGCCTATTATTGGCCTCTTGTTCTACCTTTATACCTGTGTCTATTCGTGTGCTTCATCCCATCCTATCTTTACACCTGTGCCTTATCCTATCTTTACAGCTGTTTCTATTTTTATGCCTCGTCCTATTCATACGCCTGTGCCTATTCTTGCCCTCTGTCTATCCTTACCCTCTGCATATTTTTATCATTCTGCTATTCTTACCATCTGCTATTCTTATCCTATTCTTATCCTTCTATCCTACGCCTGTTCTTCTCCTTTCTCTTTCTATTCTTGTTGTTCCCTCTATTCTTGTTCTTCCTTGCTTCCTGTTCTTCTTCTTTATCCTCCACCTATCCTTATTCTCCTGGCTATTCTTACCCTCTCTCTATCTTTACTATCCAACTATTCTTATCCTCTTTTATCCTTACTCTCTTCTATCCTTATTCTCCTCTATTTTTACTCTCTACATTCTTATCTTTCTACTATTCTTATCCTCTGCTATTCTTATTTTCTATTATCCTTATCCTCTCTTTATTTTTACTTTTTACTATTCCTACTCTCTACCTATTCTTATCGTCTACTATTCTTATCCTCTGTTATTCTTACTCTCTACTATCCCTATTCTCTTCTATTCTTACTCTTTGCTATTCTTACTCTTTGCTATTCTTATCCTCTACTATTCTTATCCTCTACTATTCTTATCCTCTTCTTATCCTCTTCTTATCCTCCTCCTGTTCTTCTTGTTTGTATTTTATCTTTCTCTGTTTATTCTTATTCTCCTTCTATTCTTATTTTTCTTCTGTCCACTTATAACTTTTGGTGTACCTCTTTCTTTGCCCTGTTGTTTCCTTTTAGCGTCTCTGTTCACCAATCTTCTGGTTGTTCTTACTTCTGTCGCTTTTATACGTATCCCCATTTCGATACTCCACCTGCCCCCCTAGTCGTACAGGGTTTGTGTACGGCACCTGAGCAAGACTTGCACCTCTACGTGGTGTTCAGGACTAGTAACCAAATGATGGTGAAACTAAGCAAGTCAGTTTCCTTTAGCCTCTCTGTCTAGACGTTCGTTCTTACTGCTGTTGCCTTTGTACTGTACATAGTTAGATAGCTCCCCGCACAAATACATGCTTAAACTCGTAGGCGGGCAGCGAGGCCCTTCCATCCAGCCTCCTGGCAGTGCCAGACACTTGGAGGGGAGCTATGGTTGAATCCTATTAACAGTGAGGGTGTGCAGCTTAGTGTACCAAAGGGGCCGTGGATAGAGGGGTTTGTATATATTGTGTGGCATTGGAGCCATCCAGGTCTAGGGTATGTACATAGTCAATAAAGTAAATTCGACTAGAATGGCCAATTCGTTTGTTTCTTTTATTTTGACTCCCAGCAAATATACCTGATATAGGCTGAGAGGTATATGCCTGCAGCAGCATACGTAGCGAGACAGCTGTATTTATTCAACACATTCCAGACACTCATTACCTACCAGTCTGTCTAAATCCCTGAAGTCTTGTATTACATTGGTCAAGCAATAAGCATGTTGGCATTGTGCGCAAATATCACCCCCGAAAACAGTAAACACAAAACTTATCTTTGAGAGATATGTGGATTGTTTGTGTTGGGAGGGCAGCATCATTGTGACTCCATCATGACCTGGACATTACTTCTGACCTTCTGGCTCATTCTCTATCCTCACAACTAATCTTTCTTTCTATCTACCCGATAATATCAAAATGGAGAACCTATCTCGACTCAGCGGTAAAAAATGTGAAAGCTCGTGCTCCCCTCGTCATAAACCACCGGCCGGGCTCTTAGATAATTTAACGATTTCGCCCTCCAGTATGGCAAGCGCCATCAGCAGTGCTTTCCAATCTCGGGGCTGGCCCCCCTCTATCTCAAAGGCTTCACGGATGGACGATACACGCCTCTTCTACACGATCGCCATGGACTCGACCACACGAGCGTACATCCCGCTTGACCAAGACTTGCCAATAGACATGTTCAAAAAAGCAACCGACTTTTACAACGTTATTCAGGAGAAGTTGAAGGAAAGAGGAAGCGATGGTGTCACACTTCTCGGCGAGATCCTGACACGACACCTGGGGACCGTCATCTTTGGCAGCAACTACATTGAGCGCGCCGGTCTCAATCTAGAGGAGACGATCAATATCTGCGAGAGGATTTTCCGTGGAGAATACGTCGATCCTGAACATATTCCAGAAAGGTGAGAGATCGAGTATATTAAACCCTGCAGGTATGAAAATTGCTAATGAAACAATATACTTTCTTAGAGAGGTAGACTACGAGAAGAAGCTTATCGGGGCTATCCATTCCAAGACACGGGCCTCCCACATAATTCGAAGCCGACGGGAGGTGGTTCAACATGCGTTGGCGTTGAACTTTCTCATAACAGAAATGGTCGTGAAGGACAAGCCGTTGTCCGAGGATCTTATCCTACGTACTCATCACATCTTAACCGAATCAATCAACACAGCTGGAGGAATGCCATGGGAGGAGTACTCGGGACGGTATCGGAAGATTCATGTCCATGCTGGAAATACTAATTTTGTCTCCCCTAAGTATATACCAGCAAAGATGCGAGAGCTGGTTTCCGAGTTCGAAAGAGATGTCCAGAAGATTGAAGCCAGCCGTATCCTTGATCCACTCACGCTCGCCGCTAAGTACTGCAATGACTTTGTGATGATTCATCCTTTTGCAGACGGTAACGGACGAATGTGTCGGCTCATCATGAATGCAATCTTGCTTAAATATGCTGGTATAGTGGTCTGTATAGGTGAGCATGACGAGAGCCGTCAGGAGTACATCGAAATCCAAAAAAGAGCCGGTGAGCATATGGAAGGGTCCGGGGAACTTGCCACACTGATCCTAAAGAAGTCAATCGCCAGATATCGGACTTTGAAGCAGAAAATCAGTGGAAAGAAGCGGGTCTCCTGATATCTTCCACATTTTGCTTTTCTTGAACTTGTGCTTTCCTTGAGCCAACGCATGCCGTCTATTTTGTGTGATTGGAATAGCGATGTTTGCCACATGTACTGCAGTGACATATCTCTTGAATGATATAAATTAACAAGGTGCAAAACTAAGTTTTCATATCATGAGAATACATGGACTGAATAATTCCCTTACGCACACTATTCTCTATGAAAATTATCCTACCCCAGGATCAGGTCTTCACTAACCCCTCCTATAATGGGATCACCACAACCTCCCGCGCTTTTCAAATGTGGCCAAATGCTCCATTTTGGTAGGCCGGGAAATGCTCCAGTATGGCGGCCACTTTGTCATCTGCAAATATGGACGGCACGGCCATACTTTCTACCCAGCTTCGCCCTAACTTTCCATGAACAGTTGTGATACCGAGTCCGGGTGTACAAAAATGGACTTCTCTGCCTGGCGCTAGCCCTTCTATCGTGGACGACACACCAAAGATACAACTATCCTCCGCAGTTAGACCCGTAGGAAGACAGAAGCAAACGGTTTACTAAGAACGGGATAAAGTTTGTGACATGTTCGCTCGTTTCTACGCCGTGACCAGACCCGGTTGTACTCGATCACCTGCCTTCCATATCTAAGATTATATTCGATTATAAGTACACCATCTGCTCCAACATTTGCACATGGGTGTTGGGAGCGCACAAACCAGACTGGTATTCGAAGGTTCCTGTCTACTGACACTTTGCTAGCGCTATCACTGTTCGAGCAGCATTCGACGAAAGCGCTTTCTCTATTGAAAGGACATGTGATATCATTAATACTTCCTCACTCTCTTTGAACCCATGCCCTGGAGAAGGAATTTTAGCAACTACCAGGATTCCTCAACATCTATATGCACCGTTTGGCTCTCACTTGACCAAGTAGAGCCAATTGGAAAGTCATCATATTACAGTACAAGCTCACACTCTCAGTCTGTGCACATATCTGTCGGCTTCACCGGCCATAATAGAATATAAAGCTAGCTTTTCACATTGAACTGGAACAGTCACTGGATGCAGAGAATTGTTCAGAGCCATAGATTAACTAAGTACTAAAGAAGTGACTGGACAAGCCAGTGCAGATGTAGATATCTATTCATCTCTTGTCTTCGGTATATCTCTCCCTCCCAGCTATATAAACTACCTTAATCCCTCTTCATCTTCCATATTGTTCATCATACGAACTTATACATGGTTCATAGTGTCTATCCTTCCGTTGTATATTGTCTTATCTCGTATCAAAGAGTGAGACATCAGGATGCCCGTAACAATTGGCGGCCTACGAGCCTGCCTGATACTTACGGCAACCTTTTATATTTCATGATATATCTTTATCATGAAAATATCCCATGCTAAGCATGGTATGGAATAAATTCGTTAAATCAAACGGTAAAATAAAGAATGGCCAAAGTGAGTAACAACCCCTCTTATTTCCTGTTGACTTTGAGCATTCAGCTGGCTGGGTTGGTCTCCAGGCTCCGAGTTATCTACCTCGCTGCACAAGAACCTATCGCCATTTCCTTTCAAGCTCTCTTGACAGGATAGCCTTTGTGTCTTGAGGATTCTCTTTACGTTGCCAAAGTGTTTCGTTAATAATATATAGTGCAACTACTGCCAGCGTCTTGGACATCCAGCCAGCATCTGTCGCCAAAGAGCGGCAGACTTAGTAAGAGGCCTCTGCTCAATTGTAAGTTTCTCAACGATGCATATATACATGATAATAATTCCTTCAGGGCCAAGCTGCAGCTGCGGCTGCTCCCACCCCCAATCCCTAGGGACCTGGGGAAGGGGAGGGGGAGGATGAGTCCCGGTAAACCTCGGTATCCTCCGCCTAGAGTGAGGGACACGTTTTCTCTTCTTGTCTGAGGCCTATGCTCAATCGTGAGTTTCTCATCGATGCATATATACATGATAATAATTCCTTCAGGGCCAATCTGCGGCCGCTCCCACCACCCGGCTGCCAATGACGCCTCCCCCAGTTGCCACCAACGACGCACCCGGTGCCACCGCCCCCAATTCCCAAGGGCCCCCAAGGGCCTGGGGAAGGGGAGGGGGAGGGGGAGGATGAAGTCCCGGTTAACTTAGGTATCCTCCGCCTTGAGTGAGGGAGGGTTCGATTGTCTTCTTTTCAGTTTAGTTTTTAGGGTTATCGATCCTTATAAGAGCAAAGGCTAAAACTACGGATCCATGGTTCTCGGCTTATATAGCGACCACATGATGAAGTAATACCAATTTAAACAACTTCGTCAACGTTCTCAAGGTAAACATGACATAACAACGGAAATCAATTGCCAGCAGCGTTATAATCAGCATCGTAGCTGCCAATTTCCTTCCTCACATCCCGCACCGCGACAATGGGGAATTCACAGAGTCAGTCCGGAGGGTACTTGAACTATTGTGACTATCTTGCAGACATCCTGTGCTGTGTAGCATGTGGGATCCAGATCACCGGGTGCACCAGAAAGGATATATTAAATGAGCGAGAAGACTGGAAGCGATCAGCCAGATGGCGTGGACATCTTTTCACGACAGCTGCAGAGCTGGAACATATGTACTTCAAAAAGAATCCTAAACTGTGGTCTTATTACTACCGCGCAAGTCAGTCTCCGTCTCATTTCTCTTCTGTCAGAAACTTACTGCGTTAGTACTCGTTGACTCCGAAGGCGATCAGTTGTCAGGAATATGTCCAAAGATCTATCATTCTAAAAAGCACGTTAATCGTGTACCCACTGATCCTCAGAGAGCCCGCATTTTCGGGCCGGTCAGGAAGGGAAGTCGAAACGTTGACTTCCGCATGGCTAGGATAGTTTATGACACTGAGCCGGACATACCGAAAGAGCGCATCGGGTATCCTATCCATGCGCACTGCTGGCTACTTCTTGACCGCGTGATCGGACATGAAATCGTCAAGAAGCATCTGCGAGAATTCGGCCGAGCTGCGGACGCATATTGGTGGCGTAATTTGGGAAATTGGGGGACTGGATTATGGCATCATGAGGACGAAATGTTGTGCTATGGGACAAAGTCACAGACAGGTTGGCACAAGCCGGTCATCTATCATGTTACGGGAAGCCCGTTGAGGATTCCTGGGATACAGAAATTGATTACCCAGGCAACGCGAGAATGTGCGGATGTGCATCTGCGAGGGCATTCGGCGATCGTTGACCTGCCGTTGGATATTGCGATTCTCATCGTCGATCTGATCTATGGGAGTCGCCCACGGTCCATGGAAAGACTGATTGATACGCGCAATTTGCTGGAAGCGTTTCAGTGGAAATTGCCAGAGACATACTGGAAAACGCGGTGCAACTATTGGCTGGTGTTTGAGATGGACGACCTCATCAGGGAGAAGCGTGCTGTCAATTGGTCGAGGTTTTGTCTTGGACTGGAGGAGCTTCTATTGGAGAGAGGTTGGTACTGCAATAGTGGCTTGAGAACACGTCAACGAGCTTTGACATCGCTCGGAGGTATCAAGGAGCACTTTTTAAGAATGATTGAGAAGCAAAATTGAACGTTGATTTTATTGATTGCTTGAGATTCCTCCTATCGAATTAACTTTATGTGCACTATGTCCTATGTTGATCGTTTATCAATGCTTGCAGATGAGGCCGTTTTGCCAGCGTTTTGTATGGCCCGCTCTCAACAACACGCCCATGCTCCAGAACAACCACATTATCTGCGATCTCCATGAGGCCCTTTGCGTGGGTGATGATGACCACTGTCAGCCCTACCTGCGATGTCACTAGCCTCTGCACAGTATGTCGGATGATTTCAGCGCTGGCCGGATCAAGGGCCGATGTAGCTTCATCTAAAATTAAAATCTGGGGTCGACGGACAAGTGCCCGCGCAATCACCACTCGCTGCGCTTGCCCGCCGGATAATCCAACTCCGCCATCTCCAATAACGGTAGAGTAGCCTTGCGGGAGGGATGATACGAACTCATCAATCCCCGCTGCCTTTGCTGCATCGCGGACGTTGCGCGGATCCCGAAGGGGTCCTTCCAGCCCATAGTTAATATTAGCTTCGATGGTGCCCGGGAATATCGTAGGTTGCTGTGAGACGATCGCCACAACGGAGCGAAGGGTTGGCGCATGTAACTTGCGTATATCAACGCCTCCAAGTGAAATGGCTGGTGTACTATCCGAAGCAGGCGTTTCGTACAGGGCTAGTAGCAGCGAGGCTATGGTCGACTTTCCTGACCCAGAGCGTCCCACGACTGCTGTACATGAGTTGCCGGGGATAGTGAAGGAAACATCTTTCAAGACAGATGCATTCGGACGAGACGGGTACTGGAAACTCAACCTGGTGATCTTTATCGGTGTTGGCGTTGCGACACGCAAGCATCCCAGGTGCTCATGCGAGGCCCCCGCGGCAAGATTCGCAAGCTGCAAGAGCCTAGACCCCCTCTCGCGCGATGCACTGATTTGTGGGACTAGAAAGTCAGCGAAGCCTAGCATGTAGATGACACTACTCACTCCAAGAAAGTACTACACTTGCGTATCCAATGCTGAATAACAGCATCGAGAGGACTGTCATGATATCCTCTACGGTGTATTCTAGAACCGACACCAGAAGTCCTCCGTAGTAGATGATCAGTGCTATAACTGTTAGCGATAATTGAATACTTATTTTTTGACCACATACCGCTCACGAAGACGATAGTAGACTCGACCAGTCCAAAGAGAAACCCTGTGTAGCCTGCCTTCCGTAACCCCGTTGTGAGGCATTTTAACAAGGCTTTCGTATGTTTGCCCTGGAAGAACGGCTCTAGTGTCAGGGTACGTACTGTGCGTATCTCCGAGAACGTCTCAACGAATACCTCCGACGCTGCACCCCTGGCCTCGTTACAGCGTCTATCCCACAGTCCGCTGGTCCGTTCAAAACCTCTTGTGATTGCGTATACCACAGGCCCAATGGAAAGCGCAACCAGAGTCAGCTTCCAGCAAACAGCCAAGCTCCATGAGGTCGCTATCACGGCGATTGAAGCTGCAACCAAAGCGTAACCACCGAAGCGGCTAAGTATCTCTCGCATTTCTTCGCCATCTCGGGCAAGGCAAGCGGTCAGATGTGATGGACTGTTTCCCTCCTCTTCGAACCATCGCTTGGGCTGGTCGAGAACTCGGCGTAAGGCTCTTTTTCGGAGGCAATCCACCCAATCTTGGCTACAAAGATTGAGGAGATAATGCATGAAGAACGACACCATTCCGTCAGATATCGAGACCCCCAAAACAGCCAGGGCCCATTTCAGCGCACTCGCCTTGTTAAAAAACGTTACTTGTAGTTTCGATAAGAAGTAGGCGAATATCGGGGTGGTGCTGGAGTGGCAAAGAGTAAACAGAACCCCAAGGAGTAAAAGAACACGTTGCCCGATAGTAAGATTAGGTACGATCGTAAGCATTATGTGGAATAGAGACTTCATTTGTCGTCGGTCCTTTCTTTTGTTTGGTAATTTGTGAGAGTGAGTTGGCCTAGTCTTTGCTCCCTCCCGTTCAGGATCAAATTCGACCAGCTGCACTCCATCTTGCAAGGTTTCTTGAGGTGTGGGCACGATTGAAAGCCGGGATCTTGTTTGGAGCTTTTCATTGTGAAAGGACTCGGGCCTTAGGCCCATAAGCACGGAGGATATACGTCGGTTTTTATCAACCGGCATGTCAGCCGAATTAACCAGGGTGGTCTCTGAGAGTATGCTGTGAATTCTGTCGCCATCAGAGCCATCCAATAGGTTGCTTCCCTCATTGGAAGGAAAGAAATCCTCATTTCCTAGGACTTTCTCAAGTTCATATCTATACCCAGCTTGTACAACTGAGCCTTGGTCCAGGACATACACAAAATCTCTGTCCAAGATGTGCGACATGTCGTGCGTTATGATGATGGTTGTTTTTCCTTTACGCCACTCTCGAATTGCTCGGATCACTTCATGACGATTCGCCCCGTCTAGAGCGCTTGTAGGCTCATCTAAAATCAAGACTGGTGTATCTCTTAACCTAGCCCTGGCGATTGCAACCCTTTGTCTCTGGCCGCCACTTAGAAAACTACCGCCATAACCCACACACGTGTCAATACCGTTGGGCATGTGGGCGATTACGCTTTGTAGCATCGCCAGATCAATGCATTCCTGAACGTCTTCTTTTCGGATCTGATCATAGTCGTGTCGCCCAAATGCAATGTTCATGAAGATCGATTCGTTGAAGAGAATGCTCCGTTGTTCTACCAGGGTGACATTATTCCGGATCCAGTTCTTGCTCAAAGTTTGTATGGGTGTGCCGTCTATGAGAATTTCACCGGAGGTTGGCGAGTATATTCGAGTGAGTAGTTGCCCCAGGGTACTTTTCCCAGATCCACTCTTTCCGATGACGAAAGTTGTCTCCCCCGCTGGGAAGAAGAAACTTGCCGAGTTCAAGCTGAGCCTCTCGGGCTGAGACGAGTATGCGAAAGACAGCTAAGACAGTTGGAATAGTTCCATGACACTAGGCTTGAATACTTACATCGCTCACTTCAATATCACCATCGCAATGACGGGGATATACTGCTCCTTCCATTTCCTTCGGGCAGCCATCCTTGGTCTGCTGATTCAACGTCTTTTTCAATGCGGAAGCTGCAACCGCACCTTTATTCAAGACAATTACTTGAGTCATGATAAATTCGATAGACTGTGCCGCGGTGAGACAAGCCCAGAATGTCCTCAGAACGTCACCGGGTGAGAGCCGTCCAGACGATGCCAAAGAGCTGCCGTACCAGAAACCCTGAACAAACATACCATACGTCATCAATCGAATGAGCGCTATCTGAATGGAATTCAACCGCGCCTGCTTAAGAAACTGCGACGCAGCCTCGTCAATCCTGCTCGAGAAATTGCGAAGCTCGAAGGCTTCCCCGTTCAGGCACTTGACAGTATCAATCGAAGTGGTGGTGCTGTTGACAACCTTTGAAGCGCCTGCCAACGCAGCCTGCTGTGCATCAATATTTAACTTCATCTTGGAAGAGATAAACGAAGCCATGGCAGAGAAAACCGGGATCCCTGCTAGCGTGACCAGAGAAAGGTTCCAGGAAGTGTAGAACGCCAGAGCCAGCGAGCCAATGGCTCGGAAGCTATACTGCAATAGCAATCCCAAAGGCTGGGACGTCGATTTCTGTAACTCATAGATTTGGCTATGAGAGGTTAGATAAGTACAAAGTGACCTGGGTTATGACTGACGCTTGAAGACAAGATAAGAATGTTCGGGCTCCATCTGGTTGTGTTTCGAACCACTCCTGATCTTTCTGCAAAAGCCCATTGAAGAGGGTTCTGCGTGCATTGGCGACTTGCAGTTCTCCGAATACCACAAAAAGAATGAAATAGATGCTGCTGCAAACCCAACTATAGACGCCTAAGCATGCCAGCTTGATACAGCTTGTTTTTGTCTTTTGAATTAGTTCCTGGGCAGATATTTGATCACTACCAAACAACGCTAAAGAGTTGAATGCCTCCCCAAGGAGTGTAGCAAAAACTGGAGAGCTAGCACTGGCTAATGATGCGAAAAGAATGGCAAAGCAAAGAGTTGGAATGTGTTTTTTAGTGGTGAAGCTGAAGAGCGACAGCCAACTCGGCTTCCACCCCAAGCAGCGTTTGAACTGGATCAGGATACCTGTCATGATGTAGGTTAATATTCCATGGCTCTAGGAGCATATCATTCAGCATCTTGAGTCGGAGAGATGACTTAAACAAGGACGCAGGCGAGTGGAGGGCTTCATGAGGCAAAACATAAATTGAGGGGGATGAGCTAGCCACGGAAAGAAACCATCTAGAGCCATTGTATCGAAATTGACTTCAGTATTCTTTTGTTCTGACTTAGAGGGGTTGTGGGGAAGTAAGAGAATAGGTTGCGCTGCCATTGTTCTTGGTTGAGTCGGCGGTCATCAATGGTCCCGTGCCGGTTCTAACACCATTGTATGTATCCAGTACCAAACTACCTACACCGACATCCACAACCGCATGTAATGTATGTACACTTTTGCGTTCAGAAAAGAGAAATTCTATAACAGTCGAGGGTAATCTCTATCAGATGTCAAAGCCATCTGGACCGCGCTCTGGCCCTACGTCCAGAGACGCTGTAGAGTCTAATTGAGTAGATAGTCATTTTGCAAATACTCCGCAGACCCCATTTTTGATGGAAGTCAGTCATTGCTGGTGGTCCGAGATTCCCTCGACCAGTAACCCTCTCCGGGGTTTGGCGAACATGAAATAGTAACACTGAGCTTACGAGCTGGACTTTGCCTTCTGGGCCCGCTCATAGATCCAGTCATTAAGACCGGCACGGTTTCTATAATTGTCAGCCTTATGTTGAAGCCAATCGAAAGTTCTCGGTGCTCACCTGGCGATTTCAACGGCATAGAACTGCATGCGCACGGCTGTTTCTTTGTTAGCCCCGCATTGCCCGATGGCGCGCTAACAAAGTGAGAGGGGGGAACCCACCAAAGATTGTAGTTTCCTGGTCGTATTCAGACTTAGGGTTCGAGCGCAGCATAGTGCCGAAGTTGTAGTCGTCCACCGTTTTCTCGTACTGCTTCATCCAGTTGCGCCACTTCTCCTTGCCCGCCTTGCTCTTCATTTCGTCCTCGTTGATGGTCGCGGCAGGGTCGAAGTCGGGGAATTCTTTCATGAAGCTCTCGTAGATCTCGTTATCCATCCTTGTCAACCGAAGCTGCGAGCCTGGGACCTTCTCGAGAATCGACCAATAGGTCATCAGATGTTCGACGGCTGTGGGACGTAAGCATAAGGAGCGAAGGTGAAACGACGGGTTTTCAGCGTACCCTTAACCGCGAACTGCTTCTCCATCTACAAAGAAGGTCAGCATCCAAACGCAGATCCATGAAAGACGCCAGGCGCAAGGTAACGTACATCCTCGAAGTTCTCGGCCGTCTCGGGATCAAATTTCTTCGACATGTTGGGCGAGTGTGATCGGAATAATCAAATGGAAAGAAAATAAATAGAGATGAAAGCAAAGTCGAATGACTTTTCGTGTACCAACGATGTTTCGTGTAGTTTCGTAGAGTTGGTCAAATGGATTGCCCCGCGATTTAATCTTTTCTGCCGGCGGAGATAAATTTTGCGTCCCGCCGCACTGTGCTTTATCGGTACGTCATTTTAATCCACCTACTAACTGTACTTATTCCATTAGTACTAGTATACTCCTGAACGACAAAGTATTTCACTTATCTCGACTGAGATTTTCCATGAAGGCAATTTATGACTCAGTCTGCCATTCTTTCTTTCCATTTATTAAAGCCTGGTGACCGTTTACTTACTACTTACTGAGTGAAGGTCAAACTAGTTGTGTACAACAAGAATGTAAAGCTTACTAATCAGCACAATTACATGAGCATCAACTATCACAGTATGTCCCTTTAATATCTGTAACACTATAATTTGCCCAATGCTAGTTCCCATGGGTTCAGTTCAAGGTATTCTTTCACCAAGGCAATGAGCGAAGGATATGTTTACAAGGGAACACAAAGCCCTGGAAGATGTACCGGCAACATCGAAGACATGAGTGTACTGCAAGACAGACATTGTCAATAATTTCTTCTTTAAAATCACAAACTGACAAAATGGTCATGTACAGGAGGCAAGGTAAAAGAGTACGTTGCATCAACTCTCTCTGCCTCTTCCATAAGCTTATGAACACCCGCTATATTCTAGATTGTTCTTCATTAGGCTGCATCTCAACCTTCAACTGAATCAATCGGAATCTGACACGGTCATAGAGTTCAGAAGTTTTACCACCTCGGTCTCTCCTGCTTTAGCGGCTAGGTCTCGTGCTGTCTGTCCACTATCGTCTTTATCATCTGCTGAGGCACCGTGGCCAAGAAGGAAATACACGTCGTTCCTAAGCCCGGCCTTGGCCGCCATATGAAGCGCGGTCTGTCCGAACATGTCCCTAGCAAAGACGTCTGCTTTCCTGTTCACAAGTAGTCTCATTGCATGGCCTTTGGAAGATACTGCCCTATGCAGAGCAGTTCGCCCATAGTCGTCCTGCAGGTCAACAACTGCCCCGCTTTGGACCAGGAAGTCCACCATTTTGCGATGGCCGCGCTCGGCAGCCTTGTGCAGGGGAGTCTCTCCAGAATAATTTGTCACATTTATATCCATTGTGCTCTCCAGTAGTAAGGCTACCATGCTTCTGGAAATGCCGGAGGTGCAATATGGAGGGGTGTATCGCCAAGGTCATCTTGCGCGTCAGGTTCAGCGCCACTCGAGAGTAGCAATTCTGCAATACTGTCATGCTCATATCGCACTGCATAATGCAGGGCTGTCTTGCCCTCTTTGTCCGGCTCGTTGACTTCTGCGCCCATATGCAGAAGGAGAGTAGCCAATTCAGCATCACCGTTCTTAGACGCTATATGTAAGCTTGTTTGACCGGAGTTATCCTTCACGTTGACATCTGCACCTTTCTTCAGTAAAAGCTGCAGCATCTTCATCATACTGCGCTTGCTTCTATCGTACATGACCAGTGTCAATACCAATGGCAGGCCAAGCTCCCCGAAAGGTGAATTCTTATCCGCCCCTTTTCTCACCAAATATCTGACCACCTCAATGTGTCCTTGGCGCACAGCCTGATACAGTGGTGTGCCGTGTGGTCCTTGTGTTTCACTGTCGAGAGGAGGATGCGCTTCCAAGTTGGCACCCTGTCGCACCAGCAATTGCACGACTGGTAAATGCCCATTTCGAGCAGCCCACCACAAGGGCGTACGACCAGCAGCATCTGCGTCATCGACGTTGACTTTACCAGAGCCAATGAGCAACATGACAACTTCAACATGGCCTTTATCCGCAGCCCAGAGCAACGGCGTCCGGCCATTAGTATCTTTGATTCCAGGGTCGGCATTCCTTTTCAGCAACAACGCCATTATCGTCGGCTTTCCCTTCTCGGCAGCCCAGTACAATGGTGTATTACCGTTCAGATCTGGGATGTTGGGATCGACTTCACTGCGCGCCAGAAGTTGGCTCACCACTCCTTCATGTCCATTTTTAACTGCCCAGCAGAGAGGAGTCTGACCAAGCTTGGTATCCCTCGCGTTAACATCAACATTCCCGCTGGCCATCAAGAGCTGAACTACTTTCTCATGACCCTCCTCTGCAGCCCAGGAAAGCGCACTTCGACCATCTTCATCCTTACAATCCAATGCCACACCAGGGGTGCTGAGCAAAAGTTGCACAATCGACTCATATCCCTTACTAGCAGCCAGAAAAAGCGCAACCTCGAACTTGCTCTTCGGCCCTAGATTTTCAGACGCCATCTTAGGATAAGACCAGGTTAGATAGTTTTCCAGCCCATCGGGTGGCCTTAAACGATTTCTATTTCAGGTATGGTCGTAGAAGGGTGTCAGAAGGCTATGTCATTTTTGCAACCCACGGGATGTGCTGTGGATCAAATATCGGGCACCTTTTTCTTCGATAACTTTCTTTGTGGGTTAGCAGAGGGGCAAAATTATGGCATTAATTCAAGCCCGTACGCCACGTGGGTTGCGTTCACTGGTGCTTTAGGGTGCCCACTTCAGACGAGGTCCCTTGTCTTGTCGGGTCTTGCTTGGTGGGCTCACCCCGGCTCCGTTTCGTATGATGTGCATGGGATGCTAACCTTTACCGTTTCGGGGTTTGAACTGTTGCCAGTGGGGGAATCGTGGCAATCAGTACATCTTTCATGCCGAGAATTGTATACAATTCTCTTTGCCTGGTTGATGCCTAATATTGATATAAGTTTGGATGTACCAATTTTTTTAGCTTCAATTTCCGCATCTGTATATGAGTTTGATGTTTCTTGTCTAAGGGCGTGCTTACCTGCGTCATGTCCCGATGTACAATTTCTGGTGGGAGAGACCGCAGATCTCCCTCTCAACCATTGGGCATGAACCACAGGTATACCCGAAGCTTCGTTAGTTTCAGCCTTACCACTATAGGAAACTCAATATTGGGGTATACTTAGCTATAGACTATCCCGTTAAAATCATGTTAAAGTTTCAATTACATATTTAGCCTAATATTATAATACAACTCAAGAATCAATCAATTAATCACTGTCTGAATCAGGTAACTCTTCCAGTCTTCCCTCACGGACAGCCTGCGCGACGGGGTTCTCCACCTTGAGGATGCCGTTGGCTCTGGCCCTAGTCTGGGTCAGCATTGGCCCGTATGGGCAATAGGATAGACGTACCTCTCAAAAAGCACAAAGAGCCGCTCGGCTTCTCTCTCCTTCTCTTCCTGGGACATAGGTGGACCCGTATCCTGTTTTTCTGCGGCCCATCTTTGACCGGTGATGGGGTTAATCTCAGGGTCGAACCTTTCTGCGGCGAATGCCTCTCCGGCAGTCTTGGGGATCTCCATGCCACGGGTGGCGAGTAGTCCTGCAGCAAATCCGTATCCGATATTCTTCGTAAGGTTTTCAGCGTCCTTTCCGGAGAGCACAAACATAAGCTCCGAAATAGCGGTTTTCAGATTGGGGTATGGTGCGGTGGAGAGCTTCAGTAACTTGGACGAAAGCGTGTCGGATTGTCCGATAGGCTGGTTCCTGTCATTGTCTTCTGGCAAGAGTAGCCACTGCATGTATTTACGGGGCCCATCCGGCGCCAGTTCGTGAATGGTAATGAGCGAGTGAAGAAGTGCGATAGCCTTGGTCTCAAGCTCCTCAGGGCCGTATAATGACGTAGCATGGTCCAAGATATTGATCAGCTTGTCCACATTACAGTTTTGATTGAATGTCGGGAATAGTGGGTTGCTGTCAAAAGGTTTGCCTTTCTTGTTTTCAAGGTCAAGAGTAGACAAGCAGTTGAGCAGGTAGCTAAGCAGGCCATCCAATGGCTTGGCGGGGATTTCAATCCGACTGATCATCTTAAATATATGAGGAATTGAAGGCGCAAATGTTGCAGACAAATCCGGATAGATCTTGGATACGTTGAAAATGAGCTTCAGTGTGTCGATAAGAGCGAGCTCGTCAATCTGGGGTAGAGGCTTCTTGAGCGATTTGGGGAACTGCTTGGCATGTCGGACAATTTGCTATAGTGCTGGTTAGTAGTGGTATCTGATCATGAAGTGGTAATCTTTACATAGTTGACATTATCACCTAGCCCATGCTTATTCACAAGATTGTCAAAATCCATGGTCGTGTCGTATGTGGATAAGAATAATATCCGGCTGATGACCATTTCATCTTCCGAGGAGTCGCACTGAACCGTCAGCTTTTGGAAAAATTATAGCTGCAGAGGTTATACCTTGAGCTTTTCTGCTAGTTTACCGCCATGGCCAGTATCTACGAATAACTGACGCATCTTTGGATCCAACAGAAGAGCATTAGCAACACAGCGCAAGGCAGCTCGACGGATGTCTACAGATTCTCCGTCGACGCCATATTTCGCCAGAATTTCCATTCCCTATGTGGCTGTTAGAAAGGTATTTCAATAAGAATATAGCAGAGCGCACCCTTTTCGAATAGATGGGACCGGCATCAGCTGGATTTGTGCCATGTTGTCTCAACTGGAGAAGTAGTTGGACCTTCGCTATATCATGGTTAGACCCGGACGTACTACTCCATTGCGGCTATACCAACCAGTGCTGCTGAGCTTCTTTTCATTTAGGTCCTTTTCTAAAGAGCCCAATAGTTGGGTGACTTGTTGCAGCTTTTCTAACCATACCAGGTTATTAGTGCTATTCATGACTATTTTGCCCGGCTTGCACATACCTGCACCTTGGAGTGTCTGGAAGTCCATATTTCACGTTGCCTTATGTCTCAGGGGTATAAAGCAGCAAGTTCAGTGCGTTCTCACCCTGTGTAACGACTTCAGCTATCGAGAACCCCACGGCTAAGCGACTTGTGGAGGCGGGGCTTATTCGGGTAAGAAAGGCTCAAGGTCTCGCAGTAAGTCTAGCGCTGTGAGGGGGTTGAGTGAAGTCCACAAGATCACCGTGGTGTTTCTGAGACAAGAGCTACATTGCAGATGGACAGAATAGAATAGGCGGGCAGATCAACCCCACCGACGTTCATTCAATCATGATTAGCCGCTTTCTCCGCAAAGACGGCAATGGCGTTTCTTCATATGCATGTATTCAAAGTGGAAAAAAGACACTATCTTGTAGAAGTTTGAATGATTTTCCCTTTTCGGAAGAGAGACTTCCCTCTTGCGAAATCCTCAATTATCGCTCATACTCACTTCAAGTAGTGCTCAATTGGGAAGGTTGGTCTGCGTTACTAATCTTTGGCTGCCTTGACACCCGAACCTGTCCTTGCGGCCTTACTGCCCCAGGCACTGAGCGCGCCACTGCCACTTTACGCGTGGTTTGCGCCACAGGCGCGATTTCGGACCAGGGGCGCGTCTTTTTGAATTGGAGTCTTGGCGCGGCCTTAGGAGATCGACTGCTCTGAGGCCCTCACGATTGCTTCAGATCGCCGCAGAAAGGCTTCAACCCGGGCAATGGACATTGCGGTCTGAGTTTACTGCTGCCCTGTATCGCGATGTTCCTGACCTTCCTTCCGATCCCATCCTTGTCCTCGTCGCTCGACTTTTTGAAACATGGTGCAGGTTCTTGGTCCATTGTCTGCTCGTCCGCCTACTCCACCCAGGACATCATCTCGTGTGCTACCTGAAAAGGAGCACACGCAAGATACCCCGGTTACCGTGAAGACGACGAACGATTCCCCATTACCGGCGTCTGCATCCAATGGCGGTCTCTCCAGTCGCAAATTCAAGCGGGTGAACTTCTCGCCATGGCCAAAATCCCATCCGAACAAGCCAGATCTGAAGACTCTACCTCCTTCGAATGAGTGTAAACCTTCGAAATCAATTCTCAAAACGACCAGCTCGCCCGCACCTGTCAACTCGCCTAATGTGGCCTCTTACACGCCGGAGTCTTTCGCCATGCTGCTAGAGTCGATCACGCAGCAATTGGCCGGCGAATCGGTCAGTTCAAGACTCGACGCCTACATGCAATTTTTCGGGGCCTTGAGAGCATACGATGGGCTTCCTGGAGGGCAGGAAATTGCAGATAAGCTTGGTCTCATCACACAGTTCATCCAACGGGATGTGACTCGGGACCTCGGGAGTGGTGGACCCTCAGATACCAATCTCGTTACTCAGGCTCTGAAGCTGGCCACCGCTCTAGTATGGCACACTGAGATATGTGCCCAGCTACCGGATGACTTCAAAATCTTTCTTGTCGATCATTCCATCAATGGCTTACAGGACGCCAAACTGCCCAAATCTGTGGCCACCCATTATATGTCGATTTTGTCAACACAGACTTTCCATGCGAAGATCATGAACAACTCCAGACTAAACCGTTTGATGAGCGTATTGCACGAAATCACCAACCGGGTAAATGGGAATGCAATCACCCTACAGCGGTTGGCTATATACCAACGTATTCTCAGCCAAAACAAGTCATTATTCATCTCTCAAACACCGCTATGGATGAATCACCTCATATCAGGCTTGCTTCACCACATAAAGGATGTCAGAGTAAAGGCCATTTCCCTCAGCTATCAAACGTCCCTGCTTCGGCCCAAATCCCATTCTATCCAAGAATATTAGAAGTAATCTTGACCGCCCCATCGGTCAAGATAGGAAACTAGTGCAGGAGGTCAGCGAAAGAATGTCGCGGATGATGTCAAGCGCGGATACAGGCGTACACGTACCTCAGATTTGGATTGCTGTTATCTTACTTCTTAGGAATAAGAGATTGACTGTCGATCATTGGGAGCATTTAAAAGAATTTACCACTCCTCTGCAGAAATGTTTTAACTGCAGTGATGGGCAAACCAGAGCGCAATCCATTATTGCATGGAACCGTTTTGTTTGTGTCATTGGGCCGAATGATGCAACAAATCCTGCAGTTTTGAAAATACTGATCAGGGCAATCCTCTCTCAACTTGAGCGAAGGAGCCAAAGTAAGCTGACATCACAGCCTAACCAAATGGTGCTGTGCAGCTATTACAATCTCCTGTATTATGCCTTCCGCCCGTCCGCGTCTTTCCAACATCTGGACGTCGTGTGGGAGGAATACCTTGCCATACCCTCCTCGACCACGTTTAGTATGGTTCCTGGCTTAAGCGACAAACTAGCCCAGGTCTTATCCAATATGCTGTGGAGCTCCCAGGCGAAGGTCTGGTTGGAGAACAAAGCCAATGAAAGTAATCGCCTTGTCCCGGAGGAGCTGCCTTCACTTGATTGCAGATGGGTACGGTCCAGAATCACCGCTGTTTTGAAGGTGTTCGAAAACATTTTCAGATCTTCTACCTGGTCCGATGACATTGAGCAATCAAGCATTGCCGCTGCCTGGGTCAGTCTTTCTCGAGCCCTGTCGTATGCCTCCAGCAAAGAGATTACCCCATCTCCAGAATCAATGCAAGCAGTCGCCCACATGCTCGGTCTTCTCCAGCGCCTTTGGAAAGCTGGCCCTGCTTCACTCAACGCCATCGAAGATAATTCCTTGGATAAGTTTTTCGACCGATTCAGGTTCCTGTCGACAACCATGATTGTCTCACTCGGAAGCATTCCATTCACTGAGAAACTCCTACTGAAGACAGCCGATGAGAAGTTCCAAGCTGCCAATACGCCGACACATCGGTCTTTGAGGGTCAACGTGAGTCTCGACAGCCCTATTCTACATTTGCTTCGACTAGTCAGCGATGTGTCCGGCGTCCCAGAGCCAACTGCTTCGTATCTGCGTCTCATAAACGATACCCTTGGCGCCGCATGCAAGGGCAGAACGGCCAGAAGCTCACGCTTAGAGCTTCTCAGGCAGTGCGCAGATTTGTTTCCTAGTGAAACAGAATTCTCTTATAGAACTCATACCTTCGCTCAGGTAGGTTGGAAGTCAACAGCACGACTAGCAGCGGATTCTCTATGTTCTTATCCTATCGAGTCCGCCCGTGAGCGTGACGGGTCTGTTTTGCGCGATTACGATAATGCTATCAAGATCCTCTCTACGGGGTTGAAGTTTTCCGACACCATTCAGGAGTGGGATCAGCTTGTGGACTCGCTTATTCGCGTCGTGCGAACTGAGAAGGGTGACGATGCCATTGCAACAATGGTTGTAGAACCAATCTCTGAGTGTATGATGACGCTTAGAGTCCAAGATACCTACTTGCCAGCAGCCTCCCTATTCGGCTATTCTCTTTCCATCACATACTGTCATTACAACATTCGGAACACGGGGGTCTCAGTAAGTGGACAAGATGGGCAGGCCAGCGGCAATTCGATATTTCCAGCCAAACTAGTTGAACTAGTGAATCGGATCCTTCGAGAGTCTTACGGGGGCTTCGACCCTACAGGAACCAATGGCATCGCGGACTTTTTAGAATCGTTCACGTCCCTTTTAAGCTCTGGTGTCCCAGCATTTCGCTCTGCGATCCTTGAAAATACTCAACAGCCCCTTGCTCTCTGGTTAAAGGATGACGTGCGCAAGATTAATGTTGAAAGTGGCGTGGAAAGCAGGATTATCACAGCGGTAAGTTTATTAAGCAAGGGATGTGAAAAAAAAAGGTACTAATAAAGCCAAGGGCCGCGCTCTCTCGTCCGCAGTGATCAGTATCTTGCAAGCTTGTTCACCCCACAATGCCTCCTCCCTACAGAGGTTTGAGCCTATTATATGTGCAGGTCTCGAGTCCTCCCATATGTCTATAGCCAAAAGATTTCTCGATTTCTGGAATTCTTCATTTGGACAACAAAAGTCACTCCCATACCCCGAATCTATATCTCGTGCACTACAACAGCTTGAATCGCAGATCAAGCTTCAGAACTCGGGACAGGGACAGGTACGTGAATTGATACCCGCTTTGGATTCAGAAACTAAATGGTCCCAGGTTGGACGTCCGGCAACATCCCTTGAATCACAAACATTGAATAGTGACCGGGCAGACATGTCTGAAAAATCCCGCATAGCGTTTATTCTAGACCATCCTGTGGAGCCATCCTACCCTGTGGGCTTCAACTCATCTCCTGTCACTAGAGTCATTGAGCCTAGAGTTGCGGAAGAGCCAAGTGAAGCACGACCTCACCGTTCAGCCGAACCCAACGAAACTGATCAAATTGCCGTTGAGGATGCTTCGGTCTCATTTCTTCCACCCAGCGAAGAACCCAAGAAGCGTACCGACGTATTTTCGATGATCGAGAACCTCCGCTCTTCCTCGCCTCCCATAAACACACCGCGAGAATATGGGTTCATGACGCCTCCGCAGTTACGTGGTCTGCGTGGTCCCGATCGTGAGTCGGGAACACCCCAAACGCCCACTTTGCCAGCTGTCGTAGCTGACAACGAAGACGGTTTTCTGGGCTCTTCTCCTACTCCCGGTATTAGAGGTCGGACACAGTCTGTTGGATCGCAGATCCCATCGTCGCTATCAACACCAGCAATGGAATCTCGTTTTGACAGTGACGTTCCATCCTCCCCTCCAGAGCTCAAGGCACAGGGTGCAAATGCCCGCAACCAACAGATGTCTCTAACAGCCGCGGCTGTCGAGAACAGAGTGAGCAAGAAAAAGAAATCTAAGAAATCTAAACGTTCGGTATTGAAGGATAAGAAACGACCTGACAGCCAACATACGCAATCCGAAGAGGCACGCGAAGATCCCAGTCGAGCAGGAACACCGCTGAGCAGTCGTCTCCGTTCATCTACCGGCAAGACACCCCAGGCAGACGCACAAAGTACGATTGAACCGCAGCCTAACATTCCCCCAGTTAGTGAACCAATTCTTGCTTCGAACGCTTCAAAATCCCATCACGGCTCTCCTGACAAGCCTATGTCTCTCAAATCTACTCCCAAGGATGTCGCCGTATCTAGTGAAATCGCGGACGGCTTAGACCCTGCATGTGACTGGATTGCGGATTCTTTCAGTGATGACATGGAGACGCAGATTGCGTCTCAACTAGAGCAAGACCTAGAATTCGCTGTCGATTCGGATAAACCTGATCAAGAACAAGAGACGGAGCTTCTGTCTGAACCTCCGTCTGGACCTCCGATGACAAGGAAGAGGAAAAGAGATGAAAACGCATCGACACCTTCTAGAGCAGAGCGACGTCGATCGACGAGAAGTTCTGCGAAGGAATTCGATGCTGATCTCAAGGAACCTCGGAGCACTCGCTCAAAGAAATCGATGTTGTCGGGCAACGCCCAACAGGTTGCATCTTCACCGGCTGAGTCAGCGCCGAAGAAGCAAAAGCTCCATGCTAAAGGCGATGCAGATGATGTACCTGCCCGGCTGCCCGATTTACAGCCGGACAGTATCGGCTCTGCTAAAGGCAGTGAGGCCTCTGCCTCTCAGAAACGCAGGTCTTCCCGCCTGAGTGGTAACTCCCCGCTGGCCGTACCAGAGGAAGGCACAGCTCCCAGAAAATCACCTCGGAACGGTAGTTCGCGCAAGCGAAACGCCAAGCGTAAGGGCAACGCATCAAGGGAACCATCTCCGAGGTCAGAGGCTCAGGCCGAAGAGACTGCCACGGCAGCTTCCCATGATGACCACCAGAAAGAAACACAGGGTTTTTTCGAACAGAATGATATTCAACAACCCGAAGAGCCTACAACTCATACCCCGGCCGCCGAGCATACGGCCACGGCTCCTACAAGCGAGAAGGAACCACCTACCGACCAAGAACCTGAAAGCGATACCAATATGAGAAATGCGGACGGCGATTCCATTCCCCAAACAAGAAAACGAACCCTCTCTCGAACAACCCAGATGGATGCCCATCAAGAGAATGTCAGCGGCGCAACAGGGATTATCACCTCATTCAGAAACCTGCTGGACGATATTAAATCAGCCACCTTGGACCGAGATGCTATTCGGCAAATTGATGACTTGATGTTCGAGATCAGGGTTGAAACGGGCGAGGCCCTAAGAAGACATACTGGTTAATCTTTCATATGCATAGCGAAGGCGTTGAATTCTTTCATGTTATCTTCTATATCTTATTGCTTGTGTTCAGACTTTCCTGGTTATGTTGGAAAAGGTCATTATCATTTTATATGTTGATGAGATGCCTCTTTGTTGGTTTGTCTATTTTTCAATTCTTTGCTTGACGCCGCACGATGGAGGCTATGGTAATTGATACGTACAAAAAGGATATTGGACGGGACATTAGTGTTGGTATTTGGTATCCATGCATGAATATATCCATTTATAGAGAGCGACTGTTGGTTGATCCTGTGCGAACCGATCAAACATAACTAGTAGACAGATATATACGAAGGGGGCCGAAAAGACATGGAAGAGAAGATAAGACGAAGTGCATCGAACACACTTTGAATAATATAAAGATATATGAATTTCTTATCGCTTAGTTTTGCTTTAAGTCGTGGGTAATTAATTATTAATTCTACCGGAAATGGTTGTGTCTCGAACGCGATGATATAAAGGCAGCCCCACGTGCCCCACCGTTGTTGTCTGTACTTTTCGGTGGTCCCCCGCATTGCATCAGTCGTCACCTCTTCCAGTTCTCATAAGATCGCCTTGTTATAGTATTTGTTTACCATGGACCGTTCTAACAAGCCTTCAGCCATCGGTGTGGGTGCATCTGTGCCTCAGCCCACCATCTCTCTCCGCGACAATACTGTGGAAGCCACGCTGCCCTCCGGCGAATCCGTTACGATCCACCTGTACGGAGCTACTGTCACTTCCTGGAAATTAGCAAATGGCAAAGAGCAATTGTTTGTGAGCGAGAAGGCTCATCTTGATGGCTCGAAGCAATTCGAGGCGGTATCCCCGTGGTGTTCCCTGTACGTCCTTCAGGCCTGGATTCGGACCGCACTCTATAATAACTAACCAGATCTGTTGGTGAATGTGTAGGTCTTCGGTCCTCCTCCTCAGAACCACGCTACCTCGTCCCTTCCACAACACGGCTTTGCGCGTAACAGCACTTGGGAATTTTTGGGCAAGTCGTCATCGGAATCCCTAGGCAAGGATCGCAGCGGAGATGGCTCCGTCAAACTTGACTTCGGCCTCTCCCGTCCCATGCTCACAGAAGATTTCCAGAAGGCCTGGCCATACGACTTTGGACTGGTATATAGTGTTACTCTGACCAAGGAGAGTCTGGAAACGTATCTCCAGGTTCAGAACAAGGGTAGTCAGAACTTTGACTTCCAGGTGCTGATGCATACGTATCTCAAGATCGACGTAAGTCCCTGGGAATCACGGGTTTTATCATCAAGTTTTAACATCTCGGCACCAGGACATCTCCGACATCCGCGTCAAGAACCTCGAATCCAAGACCTATGTCGATAAAACACAGAACGCTGCCGTCATCACCGAAACTTCCCCTGCCGTTGAGATCAACAAGGAAACCGACCGCGTATACCAGTCATTGGACCCCAAGGTGCCTATTGTTGTTTCGTCCGCTAGTGACGATAATCCCATCTTCGCGATTACCAGGGAAGGATTGAATGATGTCGTTGTGTGGAACCCGTGGATTGAGAAGGCCAAGGGCATGGCCGACTTTGGCCCGGATGAGGCATACAAGAACATGATCTGTGTTGAAGCAGGCTCCGTGGCTGGATGGCAGACTTTGGAGGCTGGTGACTTCTGGGAAGGCGGACAGACCATCCGACCGAGGCTGTAGAGGGGTTCAATCAAGACTTGACTTTTACGATATATGGGTAGATAGCTGGCGGCATCGTCTCTCTTCAAGCTTGCAGGTAGAGAATATGCGCGACACGACAGAGTACCTTACCAATTAATGGCGTTGTAAATAGACCGCCCAGTACCAACTCTGACCTTTAAAATATATTGACGGTTTCGGTATCATACCTATGACTATACCTGTCGTCTGATGTATACAATCAAGTCGTAGAGCAGCGTTAATGCAATACTGAGGTCCCCTGTAGTCACGCCTGTCGCGAAAGGCGCACCAGACTACGGTCATAGCCATCGAACACTACAATAATGACACAGGTATAGGTAATTCATGTTATGCGCCTTGGCGGGAAGGACAAGTGGAAAACAGAGGAAAACAATGGCCACCAGAATATGCAATACGGCAACAGCAGTGTCTACTGCACCACTACTTTTAGGACCTCCCATGTATCGATTTTCTCAATATGACTAATTTTATAGCAGAGGAGACAGTGTAAAAGGCTTGAATATTCTCAGAAAGTAGATATTTGCGTGATACTTCCCTATATTCATACCGAACTTTATATTAATAGCCAGTAGACTTAACTACACTTTCTGGGTCTCCTTTTATAGAGTAACTTGCTGCCGAGCAATTTCTATAGCATAACTTGCATTACCGGACAAAGAATAATTTACCTTGAGTGATATATCACCTAACCACCCAAAGATTCATGACTGGTGCTCTAGTGTTGGACTAACGACGATGTGAGCTTGACAAGAGCTCACATCCACGGTTGCACGGGCGGGGCTATTGAGCTTTGGCTGCACTTTGCTAAAATAAGAGGCGAATGAAGTTGCACTGCCCCTGGCAAGGCTCCATACGCCAACCTGTGACCAAGGTTCCAATTAGAGTTGGGAAGGTGGCGAGGAAGAGGATGGCGATCAGTCTGATTACGCCTGCGCTGGATCCGTTGGCTTGTATGTAGACTTCGGTCGTCAGGAAGACCGCTATTTCGCTGTTGAAACGGCGTCCAGGTCTTGGATAGAGTAAAATAGGGCGATCATGTATATAAGGTTGTGGTGAAAGCTGTCAGCATCTGGAAAATAATGCCTTGGAGGAGCCTTCAAATCCTCGCAGATCGAAGATACGGGGGCAAGATTGTCATCGGCCTGGCACAGTGCATGCTGTTCTCGATGTGGGGCGTCAAGATATGCATGTTGATGTTTTTCTGGCGGTTGATTGCGAATATTCCCTTCCTGTGTCTTTGTTTCAAGGCTGTGGCCGTCTATGTGGCCGTTGACTTGGTTGTGATCATTGTAGCCTACTACGCAGTGTATTCCAGGCATTTTAGGCAGTACTGGCAACTTTCCAGTGGAGGATACGCAGTGTGCAACCTATCAACATTACTCCACTACTTAAGCCATCCTTACATGCTAGTTGTACCCATCCCACTATTACTGATGAAGACTCAGCTAAAATCCAGGAGGGAGTTCATGCTCAATTGTATCAACAAGGTTTATAACTTTGCACTCCTCAAACGACAATTTATCAGATATGGCATATCCGAGAAGCAAACACCAGCAATATATGTGGCCAACCTGATATGTTTGTCGCCCCTCCTGCGTAAGTTAATTGGCATGAAGGTATTCCAGTCCAATAGTAGGCATTATCGGCAACATGGCATTCATCTGATCAAGGAATCACCCGGCGCCTCATAGTCTCCAGGAACTACGATCAGCTTGCAGTCACGACCATCGTTCTCAATCACATATCTTTATTTAAGCAGGCTCGGAAGGGGAGAGGGGGGGGGGGGGGTCAAAAGCGTCGTACCCAAAAGGGCCAACGAGATGCGTCCGATTCAGGAGGCAGTGAACAAACCGGCGGTTAGCCGTCTGGATACCAAGGATGTCATTCTCCAACAGAACAAAGGCCTTGAAGAACCATGGCGCAGTCTGTGCAAGACGCATGTATCGTATGACCCTGTGGCCAGAAATATTGGGCATGTCGATCACCACTCCAGCTTGAAGCTTGGGTGAGGCAGTACAACTGATGAGAGTAAGCGGCCAATACTTGACGAAACAGCGGGCCTCGTGGGTGGACTTCTCGGGGCCAAACTTCACAACATCTGGATTGCCAGCTTTGGCCTTAGGCCGAGCGAGAGACTCGTAACCTTTGAGCACATTAACGATGGCATCGAAATAGATATCGTCTCAGATTGTCCTGGGAAAAACGTCACTTCTGATCATTGCTGCCCTTGGAACGGCAAGAAAGGGGAATGGCGGTGCATCTGTTTCCTCTCTATCCCTTGCTCCATGGTCACCGAAGCTCTTATTACACAGAGGGCAGCTTGCACGTCGTCTAGTGAGCCACGGGTCCACGCAGGAAGAGTGGAAAATGTGCCCGCATGTCAGAGGCCGAATATAGGTTTCACCCTCAATCGAGTCCATGCAAATGGCACATAAACAACCCGACTCGCTGGCTGCATCGTCGCTGCCATGCTCACAAGCATTCCCCGAGTCACAAAAATGCTCTTGTGCCTTGCCTGATTGAGTGTTCTCAGTAGAGTCTGTCTTCTGGGCATGTGCTTCAGGAGCGATAATATCTGTCTCATTGTCTTTGGCGTCTTTTGATATCGAACCCAGCGACCCAATAGTTTCTTTCGCGATACTCCCTTTTCGACTTTGGCCTGCCCACCAGTCGCTGTATTTCATCTGCGGGAACTGCTTGTCGACGTCGCCACTGGATATGACCGAGTGACCTCTTCGAAATGGAATGCTCTCCAGATCCAGGAAGTGAGAGTTCCGTTGGTTTCTTCTATAATGGCGGTACCTTAATCCAATAACGAGCCTATTGAACGGACACCAAATCAACACAGGTATCGCGCGATTTGCGATGGAGCTACATACCAGACACTGATCACTAGAATACCGGCGCAATTGGCGCAAGATATCCTAAAGCCGGGGGAGACTCTCATGGTAGATATGACGCAACCGTCATCAGTTGGACAGAGAGGGTACGAGAGTTACATCAATGAAATGGCTTCATACGCATGGGAATTTATTGTATCACCTGAAGGATAGTTTTCTGTTTCTTGTAGTCTTATAAAGTCTGGCAGCTGTGGAGAAAAAGGAAACTCACCGCATGAGCTAATGACATGTATATTAAACAAAGATACGAGCTGGTGGTGTCAACGGGCCAACCCCGCAGACTTACCAGATCATGACTCGTTGGTTCCGTCCTTAAGCTGCACAGCCATAAAGAACTGGGATGATCATTGGATCAAGAGCTCGCGACGAGTTCGGGCCCTTGGTTAAGCTGTCATGTGCCCGTAGTTCTCCAAATCCAGACTAGTTCTCGAAGCTCATCCATTTGGAAATGATACTGGCTGCCTCAGGGTTTGGTTTAAAAGAAAAGGCCTTTACGGCCTCCCTGGCAAGGTTGTGTCGACTATGGAATGTTGGAGAAACTATACATACTGTTATATAGATTGTAAAGTCTTTAGAAATGCACTATAAGTTCTATTCTCTAATACAGTGATAGCCCTAAAATATCTATATATCGTATATAGAATATTTTATTGTTTTTCAAAGCAACTTCAGAATCAGAAGAGCCGAAGTAGTGTAGTGTCAATCACGTGTCCTTCAGGGATCTCTAGCCAGCAGTCTCATAGCTGTAGTTATTTAAAAATTAATGGACGCTTGGATAGACTCCATTAGTGTTTAGTCCTCGGGCAAGGTTCTCCTTTTGCGGCATTCTCACATACTCACATATCTCGCAGCTGCTTGTCCCAAGTCAATATCTCTTGTCCCATATACCTAGCTTTTGCAGCGACAATATGCAGTGTGCAACATAGTATCAACTGAGAATGAAAGATATTTAAAAAAATAAAATCATTAAAATTAAGAGTTGAAAAAAAAGAAAAAAGATTTCAACAATAAAATAGTTTTTAGTGAAATTTGAGTTCTTCTAAGGCAAGAGGGACTTCCTCCTCCTCCTCCTCCTGGAGGGTGAGGGCGGCGGCGACGGTAGTCGTAGTGGAACTGGCAGCAGCACCGGCAGCACCAGCACTGGTGGGGGCGGGGGTGGAGGCAGAGGTAGAAGGCAAGCCGGCAGGAGGGGGAGCTGGGGTAGCGCGACGACCACCCCGGCGGCCTCTGCGCCGCCGCCGGGGGGTGGGGCAGCACCGACAGTAGAAGCCTAGTATATAATTAGTTTTTATTCGAGGAGAATGCATAGTTGAGCGGCTAACTTGTCCCTGAAGGAATGTGTTAGTATCATGTATATATATATTGCTAAGAGAAACTTACGATAGCGCACAATCCTCTTACTAAGTCTGCCGCTCTCTGGCGACAGATGCTGGCTGGATGTCCAAGCCTTCCGCAATAGTTGTACTATATATTATTAGTGAAATACTTTAGCAAAGTAAAGAGGATCTTCAAGACACAACCACTGTCTTGTCAAGAGAGCTTGAAAGGAACAAGTAACTGTTCCTGTCCAGGACAGAGAGGTAGTGCCTCGAAGCCTGGTCCATCCAACCAAGTGCTTCAAAATCAACTCAAAAAAAGAGGAGCTGTTACTCACACGGGTATGAGGCCACATTCAGACCTCAAGTGGTCGATCTGATCTTTGGCTACCGCGAATTGGGCTATGGATCCGGGTGTGAACGTATCGAGCAATATCATGATGACCGCCTCAAGAAAGCGGATTAGCCACACTATCCGCATTTTCGATCCCAAGCTCTGGCATATCTCGAGGGGAAATAGCAACCCCGCTAAATTGGGGCTTTCTGTTTGTCTTCTCTCAGATGTACCGATAATGTACACCTGTTACAGACTCGGCTTGTTGGTTACTGCTTTTATGTTGAATCCGCTCGGCCAAGCATGCTATAGTCGACCCGGTATAGAGTCTGCCTTCTTCGCAGGGACTACTGACATAATCCAGACACACATCATTTTCTCTAAGCGAAGGGCCCACCCTCGGAAGAGCAAGAATGTGTTGGCCGGTCAGTTTATCGTGGCCCAGAATCGTGTGGGTAGACTCAGGAATTATCGCCAGATATAAGCGAAATACAGCGTCAGGGTCTGCTCTCCGCAGCCGATGGTACAAGCCCTTTTCGACCCAGGATTCGGGACCTGAAAGTTCGCCAAAAGGGGTATTTTGAGCATAGTTACACAGGTACTTCATAACTCTGTGCATGCTTTTGTCGGTCTCTCGGTGAACCTCGTGATCCTCGACTTCAGCATAGTAACTGGTGGTGTCCTCATACTTCAAATTGTCGGGGTACTCCTCGTCATCGATAAGGATAACATCAACACCTTCCGGGTTGAAGGGGACTTCTTCGGGGATGCCATGGAGGGTATGTTTGAGCTCTTCGTGGTCTTCACAGACACATTGGCTGCATGCTTAACAGGCTCTTATTTAGTTATTTTAGTCTGACTCGCTGGCGTATTTTGCTACAGCTTCAGTCGGAGAAGGGTGTTTTCCGGCTGTAGTGCAACCGACTTATAGAAGCTCAGACTTTTCACCGGCTTCTTCAGTATATCTCACAAGATTGAGGATAATGAGATGGTTAGATGAAACTCATTTCATCTTCTTCTCGCGCTGAGTTTTATCTCTAGTTCCAGGGAATTTAGGGACCTGACAGAGTGAAGATTGCTCCTCAGATCCCGAAGGCATTAACTTCTAATAACCCTGACAAGGTGAAGAACTCTCCTCGACCTCAGCGGACTTAGACTGGCACCATTCATCAGTTTCGCCCCTGTCGTCGGCACTGTCACTCTGTTATCAGTTTTCACTTATTCTACGTGAAGTTTGTAATTTTACGTCTGTCACCCCAAAATGAATGGGCACCTAGTGCAGTGAACAAGTTACGCCTACTAGTGTCTGTAGTCAGGACTACATTACATACTCTGGAAAGATTGAACGCCAATCACAATTATCCGCCCTGGATGTCCGCTTCCTCATCAATGGTTTGTGTGGCTAAAAGGCTATATTAGTTCATGGTAATTCAATTGCTTTGATCGAAGTCCACATCCTTCAGGATATGACAAGGAAAGGAAGGATATTTTTCAACTCCCTACGATAAATTAGCCTTTGTACTGTCCAGAATATAGATAAATCTATCGGCATAATAATATCATTATGATTAGAAAGGCAGTCAGCCCTGGCATATATTGAATAGCTCTCGCTATGGGCGGTCTTTATGTAAAGTGTTGAGTCAGGCTGCTGGCTAGCCCTAGTCACGTTATACCAGGCTCACTACCTGTTACCGCGCAAAAGTACAACCTGGAGCTACGAATCACATTTAAGTGAAATATCGACTCATATATAGCTGAATCGATATAAAAAGCCCTGTTTACAATATCTGGAAACGATTTTGACTTGAGGGTACTCATTATGTTATGCTTTTGGGGCTCCGGATGAACCCATTGGGCTACGGGTTATGCTCTCGATATCCCAGGGAATTGGTCATAACTTGTAGTATTTTGTTCCTGACAAAGTCAAATATATGTTTACTAGTTCCAGTGGTATGGTATAAAAGAAAAACGGAAGAATAATATAGGGTCATTGGCCCCCCAATTGTCTTGGATAGAGAAAGGTTTAAAGCATGGGAAACAAGATTAGGGTGTTACATGCCCAAGTTCTTCTTGTCTCGTTGCATTGTATCATTCACCAGTAGGCCTAGCAGGCTAGCACTATAGTGGGGACACAGTAGTCCTAGCCATTAGTCTCCACATAGGTAGACTAACTACGCAGTAACAACTTCTACTTTGAGATACATCCATTTTGCCAATTGCTGGGCAAGAGAGGAGAAATGGGTTATATGACATAAGTAAAGTTGGGTTTTCGTTAAAGGCATACTCCATTCTTTCAACAACTCCGAGAATTGTGCTTGTCCTGAGGACTCTATCCAAAAATGATATAAAAATTCATATAAAACTTCAAAAACAGATGCGGGCACGGGGGTTCGAACCCCGGACCTCACGCTAAGCCCGATTGGGAAGCGTACATGATTACCACTACACTACACCCGCTCTTCTTGTTTGAGTGTGAAAAAATAGCGGAATATCATGTATATGCTGCATAGCCCTCTTAGGCTTTTGTCCCACGGATTTCGGGTGTTTTAAGATTTATAGTGGGTCCACAGCTTAGTTCGATATGGTAGCTTTACTGTGGATCTATTTCTATCTAGTTTTTCTAGTTGTGGTTGCTATAATCGTGTTTTAAAGTTGTTATCTGCTTTGATATTAGGGCACCACATCCAGGTCGTCGGAGGTGAGGTCACTGACAGACTTTTACCTGTTCATGTGACCATTCGATCAGGTGACCATATGATTTTCGAGACTAGTTACGACAGTAGTTTCTACAATTTACACTTCAACGATATAATAAAAAGATCGACTGATGGCCCGGATCGTTGGAAAGACCCTCGATCTCAAACCTTACGATATCTCTACGTACTGCAAAAGGCCGTGCTTCTCAATTTGAAGAACCGTTGCAATCTACACAAGAAACGCGTTATGCCTCTGACACCGTATACTCAAGTTTTAGCACTTGTTTATGACTTGATATGATATTTGAATGTATTTTCACCACTGAGTCGCTGAGACTACCTCACATACTCGGAGTACGGTCGGGGGTAGTTAGACAAGCCTAATTAGCAAGGACTAAGGAGGCCTGAGGTTTTCGAGATGATAAGGAAGCTCATCCCCACCGGGCATGCTTACAATTCTGGGTAACAAAGTGTCAAGCACATACTACCTTAGTATCTGGCTTCCGTATATTTCACCTCTCCAGACACATGTCACTCGTCACTGCTATCGTATATAGTATTCATCAAGTTTCCCCTTAATCCTATGCACCCCTTCTACTTCGCTCCACTCGGGATACAAGGAAAGCACAGCATCCAACTGTAAAGTCGCAGCCTTGATGTTCTCTTCTATCCGTGTACAGTGCATCTTAACAAATTTCTCATAGATGCCCTTAATGTAAAAAGCTGACTGGAAGAAAAGCCTTCTTCCGGAATCACGCAGTAGTGTTGACACGGTATCTGGCAACTGTTGTGATGTTTCTTTGGCCTTAATTGCATTCTCAAGGAAACACCGGTCGTCGCCAAAGCTTTCTCCTTCGGCAAGCCCGTTATTCCTCCATCCCGGAATATCTGCAATGAACCAAGGGTGATGAATCACAGCGGGAAGCGGTGCGAGTGATATCCAATCCCAGTCGATAACCCTGGAATTCAAGTCATCCATTAGAAAAAGTCGTCAAAGCAAAAGATCAGGGATTACAGCACGTTCTTACCCTGTCAAATGGAAGTGATCGCCTTTCATGATATTATACGTATTCAAGTCCCCATGGGCGAAGCCAACATCTGTGTACTTGTCATACTCACCAGCATAGTCTGGGTCATTGACCTCATGATCAGATAGTCGATGGCATCACCCCATCTAGCAGTTCCAGTGAGAGTTCGTCGGAGACCTCGGTCCAGGCTCTCTGTAAGCCAAGCTAAATACCGGGGCTTTGGCTCTGGCTCAAAATTAGGGGGGGGGCTGCAGTGGTCCATAATTGCAGTAGGAACTCCGCAAGGTCCTCGAGGAGCCTTTGGCGTTTGTTAAGAGGGATCTGGGAATTCCAAACCGCCAGCGGTTCGCCACTAACCCACTCTGAATATAAAACAGGGTGTTCTGCCTTGAAAAGCACACCTGGCGCTTTGATGTCTGGGTGGCTTTGTTTGATGTGTTGAAACATCTTAACAGCACGCAGTTCATACTTCCAGTTGTCGGGATCATGGCAGACACGAGCAGCCCACTGTACGGAATCTTTAAAAACAATCTTGAACACTTTGTGCGAGCCACCCTGACAGGGGTCTTCATCAGCAAGTGAGCAGCGAACTACCTCACGAAGGCAGCGGGCTTCAAAGAGAAGACTTGAGGAGTTCGCCATTCCTGGAAGATTAAATAAAGCAAGCGCCAGTTGTGTATATAGGTGAGGAGGACTGAAGGATGATAACACTGACTTGGGCAGGTTACTATGAGAGATGGTTTGTTTTCGGTCATGATCTTCTTTGTTCACTCTAGAATTGCTATCATAGTGGGACAAGATATATTTCACAAGCATGTCAGCCACCAGCAGCCAATCGGAAATAAATAGATACATCCCAGAAAGGCGGCTTTGTGCATAACATGATGCTGATAATGAAGTTGCGACGTCTAATGAATGACATTGAAGAGGGCAAAGTTGTGACCAAAACACCTGGTACAGTAGTTATAACTTTTACCAACATATCGATATAATATTACGCAGTCATCATTCCAAATATCTTGTGCTCAGATTGTATGTGCAAAGTCGTGATTCGAATGTTCGATGTCTATTGTATGCTATGTTGAAAGAATTTCTGAAAAAGAAATTCCTTCTCTTGCGAGAATTGTACTATAAACTTCAATCTGATCCGTTTCTACGTCTCTAGGAAGGCCTTCAGAATGGCAGCAACATGGAAAGAGAATAGGAATCAGAATCCAGGTCCTTTCGCGCAGCCTCCTACCCTACTTGCTACGAATAGAAAGCCCACCATAGCTTTTACAAATGTTTGCTAGCATCGTAAAGAGAGGAGATGCTATGGAAGCAACTGGGTAATATGTTTCTGAGAAGTACATGACTATACATTGCTGAAGATGCAAAGTTGATATGTGCATAAGAGATTAGGAAGAAGCAGAAAAGAATGGTTTTATAGAACACAAGTGAATGAAAGCTCGCATAGCCACTATATCAAGTATTCTTCCGTGGTGATGCAACTCCATTGGATTTGGAGTGAGTCTGGCTGTGGAACCTACCCATTCACGGCGCTGACTTCTCAGGCTATCAAAGTGAGCTCTTTAATACTCCTTCTTAAAAATATCATATACTGAGTTTTCTAGAGTGGTATGCTTTGCATAGTGGTAATTTCCTTCCTGCTAATTCTCATTGAATTAAGACTCTTCAATCAAGCCCTTGTCTTTTCTATGCTCAAATTTTCAACCCATTGTGTGACATTAAATCCATATTCCTCCACACTCCAACATTTTAGAATCCTGGTTAATTACGCTTCCAAGTTAGCTGAAATCTCGCGGGGCCTCTTCACAAGTCACTGGAATCCTGCCCACTATAGACTTTATCAAAGGGTGCAGTGATACATGTCTTCCAAGCTACTACAGTGGCGATAAAAGCATAAATTGCACAAGAATCATGAAGCGAAGGAAATCAGCTTCACTCTAGTATAGCTACGGCTAGGGCCAGCTCATTCATAACTTCCAATAACACCGATGCTCCCTACACAGAAAAATAGCGTGGCAATAGAATAGATGCTATTGCGGCTCCTGGCCTCCCTAGTTTTATGACAGCCGAGTCGTAACAAGTGCTACATGCTGTACTAGGGCTTAATATATTATAAGATTCTGCTCATAAACACCGGCTTATTATACGGGCTTTCAGCCTTCAGGGTGGTCAATAGCTCCAGGCCGTCTCGCTTGCTGCCGAAAGAGCACAGAATAGATCAATGCAAGAATACGGATCACTTCAACTTGCTTAAAAACTCATACAGCATGGCCCAGCGTATGCTTCTATGGGGATGGAGACAAAGTCTTGGCCTTGTCAACGTTGACGTTAATGGCCATCCATGTCCATAGAGGTCGTCTTGAAGCAATCCCATGACTTAAGTATGGTCATGGTGTTAGACAAGCCAGGTGATCGCAGGAAACCCTACAGGATCATTTCATCTCCAGGTGCCGCAGTCTAGACTGCAGACCGTTCTACATAATTAAATTACACACTACAAGTAGTCGGTAAAGGATGTATGGGCAGCAGGTGACTCCGGCCACCATCGCGACAGACCCCCGAAGGAACCCAGCACGGTAGAGGAGCCTTAAGTTGCCCACTTCAATCTTGTTCGCCAATATGACCCAGATCCTGTGGGTATACCAGGTATGTAGGTTGATTATGCGATCGTTACATTAGATTACTCTAATGTGGGTAAAAGTGTGAGAAGAAAAAGAAAACAAGCAAAGGTTGTCTGTTGAAGAGATTTTTATATGTTCCTGGCACGTGATGGGTGGGTACTGGAGAGGAGGTTGGGAGTTGGTAACTTCTACCTACAAGATACACAAGATATGTAATTCATGGTGTATTGATATGAATACAAAAGGGAAATTTAGTGACTACAATACTATTCTATTTGGATATTCATCCGTGCTCCATACCCAACAATACGCACGAAAAAACGAACGTACACAAGGAGAGGAAGATGGGACTAACGATTAACCGAGGCCGTATAAGTCATGTGACCAGTTTTCCGAACTTTTCTTCCGAAATTTGGAGCAAAAAAGAAACTTCCTCTTCTCCTCCCAACATTGGCTCAGCGCATGGTGCTTCTATGTTTGAGCACCATAATCTGACTCTCCATTGTTGAATGCCTTCAATGATCGACAAGCAACTCGTAGAACTTATTATCACATGGATATATCTAGCAACCGAACAACCACACAGTGCGCGTCTAGCCTTTTCAATGGCGAAGAGGCATACTTTTTGTTCGTTCAGTGGGAGATCAAAACCAAACAGCTTTTAGCAGGGCTGCGTCTACTCCACCCTGGTGTTCGCTTTGATCGAACAGCAGGACTATTTTTACGACGAACATCTTAAATCTCAATATCTGAGGGATAGGTCAGATATCTCTGTAGTGACCTTGTAACGTAGTCGGCTGGAGAATGAGGATTTGCAGTGGAATTCCGGACCGCAGGGTATCCATGCCTCTTACGGATATAAGAAATGTTGGTCCGGCCGAAGGCAGCGAGAATGCCAGTTGGCAATTCCGACGCCGGGTTAGTAATGCGAGGGGTCTGGACGAATTTCAATAATCCTCGGCTACTTCACGCAGAGTGGGTCGCGACCACCAAACAGCATGTCGCAATTATTAATGGACGACGGCGATGTTTTTGACCATGTGGAGCCGACCTGGATATCGGGTTGATCTTGATCGTGAAGATGTCGACGTCTTCCCCCAGAACATGTGTTGGCTCAATCCGAGTTGAAAGAAGGATCATACTACTGTGAAGTTCCGGTCCTAGAGCCTAAGCTGACGAGGTGTTGAAGCATAGAGCCATGGATCGGAGGGTTGTTGCCACGGCCAGAGCCAATGCGCAGTCGAGCTTCTCCGCATTTCTGTAGTTCTGCTTCCTGAGTTTAGTAGACAATTGATGAGTAAAAAGGCTCTGGTCCAGCCGGAAGCTCTTGCCCGCTGTGATTGGTGCGTCTCGCCTTTCGATGACATTCGGACTCTGGAAAAGCCATTCGGAAGTACCTATTTGTAGTATCCCTGTCCTGTTCTCCTCTCCTTTTATTCATTCATTCCTTCCTTCGTCCTTCCTTCTTCTCGACTTCATCCGTCGTTCCCTTCTTGATCCATCTCCATCCCCTTTGTATCATCTATTTTACCTCCTAAACACCCTTCACAATGGCTTCGGCTGCTAGAACCGCTTCCCGGGCCTTCCTCCGCTCGACCCCTTCCGTCAGACCTGCTGTCCGCAGCACGCGTTTCGCTCTTCCCACTCAGGCCTTCCGTGCTTCCGCCCGTCGCGGTTACGCTTCCGAAGCGGGTGAGGCCAAGTCCAGCAACACCTTCCTCTGGGCTGGTCTCGCGGTTGCTGGTGGTGCTGGTGCATACTTCTACCTGCAGGGTGGTGATTCCGTCAGCTCCAAGAACTTCGTCCCCACCAAGGAGGACTACCAGAAGGTGTACGACGAGATTGCTCATCGCCTCGCCAACGAGACTGACTATGACGATGGCAGCTATGGACCGGTAAGCCTTCAAATCCAATTCGTGTAAGCCATTGGAACTAACCCGTGATCTCTCGTAGGTCCTCGTCCGTCTGGCATGGCACGCAAGTGGCACCTACGACAAGGAGACTGGCACCGGTGGTAGCAACGGTGCCACCATGAGATTCGCTCCCGAGTCCGACCACGGTGCCAACGCTGGTCTCAAGACCGCCCGGGACTTCCTGGAGCCTGTCAAGGCCAAGTTCCCCTGGATCAGCTACTCCGATCTCTGGACTCTGGCTGGTTCCTGCGCCATCCAGGAGCTGGGTGGCCCTACCATCCCTGGAGACCCGGCCGCCAGGATAAGGACGTCGCTGCTTGCACCCCTGACGGCCGTCTGCCTGACGCCGCCAAGGACCACCAGCACGTCCGTGACATCTTCTACCGCATGGGATTCAACGACCAGGAGATCGTGGCTCTGATCGGTGCCCACGCCCTCGGTCGTGCCCACCCTGATCGCTCTGGTTTCGACGGTCCCTGGAACTTCAGCCCTACTGTCTTCACCAACGAGTTCTTCCGTCTGCTGGTCGATGAGAAGTGGCAGCCCAGAAAGTGGAACGGCCCTGCCCAGTTCACCGACAAGACCACCGGAACTCTGATGATGCTCCCCGCCGACATGGCCTTCGTCAAGGACAAGGCATTCAAGAAGCACGTTGAGCGCTATGCCCGCGACAGCGATGCCTTCTTCAAGGACTTCGCTGATGTTTACGTCAAGCTCCTCGAGCTCGGCGTTCCCTTCGAGAGCAAGCCCGAGGATCGCTTCGTCTTCAAGACCTCCGAGTAAGCGGTTTCCATGCCCTGATGTCGCATCTTTTTGGTTGGATTTGGTTACAGCGCACTGTTCCTTTTTTCTGTTTTGATATCCGGCGTGTCATTTAGATACTGGCCATCAGCGATGGTTCATATTACTTTGCCATGTATATGTGGAGGATATCCACCAGGCAACTGGAAGTTTGGTAGAGAAAAATTAACTCTTTGATTCACACACTTACATCAAACTATTGATAAAGCCGGGCTGCCAGATAGTATTGGTATGTCATTATAGAAAGATAAACGGCGCGTAGCATTCGCAATTGGGAGAAACATTGGAGCAAGTGGCG